GTGGTCAGGTAAATGTACAAATGAAGTCTAAATGTATTCTAGTTTTTATCAAAAGTTAAAACGCATTTACATATTTAACTATTGGTTTTTACTAGGACGTTATAGTGAACCTTATCTAGGACTATGACCACAGTGGGTACCTTATCCGAGTAAGCGATGTGCCAGCGATAAGATTTGTGGTGTATCAATCTTACGAGCCGGCGAAACAATGGAACAAGCAGTTTGTGATGTTTGCAAAGATATTCGAATTGGAAAAATTTGAATTCAAAGAAACAGGTGTACTGGTGAACCATAGGTATACAATTTTATTAATAACTTGTTTTCATTAATAAGAGTGTCGTCAGTGGATGGCTTCTCTTTTCATACTTTCAATGTCTGTAATTTACCTGTAATCGTATATACTTATTATACTAAAATTGTATAGATCGTATATGTAAAATAAAGGAGAAAAAAAAAACTTTTTTTCATAATTTCTGGTTATAATTTTTTTTATTAATCTGTATAGCTTTACTATTTGCGTTTGCCTAAAAACATTAAAGACTACATGGTGATATTGATGGATGCTACAGAAGCTACTGGTGCAGCTACAATGAGCTGCTATTAGAGTACTTTTAGACCATGACGTTCCGGAAGATAATATTTTACTAGTGTCGTTACTTATGGCAGAATCTGGTACGCACTTAATTATAATACATTTTAAATTTTCGTTTACTAAAATATTTATTTTTAGGTGTGCACAAAATTACATAATATGCTTTTCCTTATAAGTACATATTGTTACGTCAGCTGTTGGTTCTGAAATAAATGAAAAGTGTGAGTTCTGCCTGGAATTGGACACTTTGGTGATCAATACTTTGGAACAGAGCCAGAAGATTATCTATCTAGTTAAAATGATTAATATGATTATTGTACTTAATTTTTAATGCACAAGATTTGTATTAATTTTGTGATTACTGTGTTTCTAGTATTTTTTTTTTAACATCAATTTCAATAATTGATTGATGTATTGTGTTGTCGTACTTAAAGTAAATAAGTATTATATAAATTAGTTTTCGATAATAAAATCATTTATTGATAATATTTGTTAAGATTAATTGCATAATAGTTTATTTTTACGATTAACATTCGAAGTCTTAATTATTATAATATTATAACAATATTAAATATTATTATAATATAATAATGTTTAATTTGTAATAATACTGTATTACAATAATGTTAAATCAATTATTATAATTGTTTTTTTTTAAGTCTTATAATAAATTTTTAAAGTATAATCATACGTCCATGTTTAGTTAAAATATTTACTAAAACGATTTGAAAAAATTTTAATGTTTTTAATTGCTTAAATTTTTATTGTAAATCATTAACTACTGTCATTAAAGTTATAAAATAATTTATTTTGTAAAAATATTTTTGGTTAGAATTTTATGAATTAAGATTTATGATATTATATTAACTGTCAAGTTAATATAAAAAAAATGTCAATGATTATATATGGATAGATACATATTTTTTGACGTTAGAATAACATAATTTGTTAATTTTCCAAACCACCCATGAGGTAGAGTATTTGGCTCGTTTTTTTTAACGTAGTATCTCCATGTATGATGATGTTTCTAATTATTGTGGTAGATAAAACTCAATAGTGTGTATAGTAGAGGTGACTTTACTTTAGTAGATAATTCAACTTAGGTATAGTATCATCAGACGTTCATACTACGGGCATACGACGTATCTGTGAGGTAAGCTTTTCGGACCAGATACGGTCCTATTCAGCACGTCTCACATGTTCATCGTACACGCTTCTATGAATAGTTAAAAAATATATATTGGGAACAAAACGGAGTACAAATTGAAAAGCCCATATTTGATTTCAGCATAGTTCGGGCTATAACGTCGAAAGCCAGCCACACTTGAGCTATCTTGAGCTATAAGATATCCAGCTTCTGTGCAAGAGTCAGTTTTTCAGACAATAATTCCTACTCCACTTTTCCGATATCGCGTTCATCGCATGGTTTCTATGAGCTGTCAGTCGTCCAAGGTAACCTCCTCCTAGTAAGTTTCTCGGACCATAAAGTCTTACTTCGCAGTTAGCATAACACTTCGCACGTTCATCGCACTGTCTCTACGAATTGTCGACAATCTCAAGCCGGGACCTCAACGAGCTATACCCTTATATACTGGAATAAAATATATTTATACAGGAACACTAGTCTTTTCAAATTAGCAATAACTCATTTGAATTAATGTTTTAATATTGTAGACCGCTGTTTAATTTTATGGGTCAGATTTTTTTTTGACTACCAGTGTTGTTCATTTGAACAGCTAACGTTAAAAAATAAACCGCCGAGGAAAAATTGAAAAATTATTATTTATTTGCCGTTATTTACAAACAATTTAATAGGAAATACTATGTACATTTTGCAGCCATTATAATATAATACTATGTTTATTTTACGATCGCAAACAAACTAGGTAGGTATATCATAATGGTTGGTATAATATTAGGTGTAAATGTGAAAACAGAATTTAAAACAGTTTATTTGTGTTCAACTCAATATTAAATAACGATTACATTGAACTGGACACCGGTTTTGGTGGTTTCGGCTAAGGGCGATTTGTAAGGGAGCCTTCTAAGAAGCGCTATAACTCGACTTGTGTTAAATAATTATTGATCTAAACATTGTTAGGCGTATTGACTTTTGTGAGCATTGGACTGAATATGCAAGTATGGGAAATTATAAACGAGAAAATTATCCATTCAACTCACATGGGCGATTTTCAATAATATTTTTTTAGAAATCGAATTATATTAATTGACTACTTGTCGGGTTCCACGATGCCTTGGTCCCTATAGTATTGTTCGATAGGAATCAAGGGCGGCAAAATTTCATCGGTTTTTTCGGTTTGGTCGTTAGCTGACTCGTTTTCCGATGTCTCGATTCTATTTGTACGGTTATAACCATCATATTAAGATTAACAGTTTCCTGAAATATATTATAACTGTTAGGTTATCTGGCCGTTTTTTTTGCTCGTTATATTCTTCGATGGTATCGCTAGCCGGGCGTTTCAAGCTGTTATTGCTTGCCATTATAATTCGTAGGACAAGTTATGTAAAGAATATAAGATATTTTCCAAAATAGGATACATAGTTTTATTTAAATTTTACAAGGGTTCAAGTTTAAATAGTTTAATAATTATATACAACAATAAATAGATTTGGAAATAAGAAAACACAATGATACAAAATTTAATAGAGGTACAAGTAATCTGAATAAATGTTTAGAAGCAAATAATAGACAATACCTATGCCTTAGCAACAAAAATATTTTTTATATTATGCAATTTCATAATTTGTCGTTATTTACATCTGGTTTTGCTATCATCCAGTAATATATATTAGGTACTGTATATTAAGTTAATTAATTTAAATAAATTGTATACTAAAACTATTTCAAGTATAAAATTGTCATAAAGAAATCGGACCAGTATTAATAGCCACTTTTAAAAATGATACGTAGGTATCTTTTAAGCATCAAAATCAAAAGAGTGCAATAATAAGCTATAAGTATAATGAATTACTGAGCGAAAAGGGAAAACGCATCAAAGTAATAAACGGTTATAAATCTAGCTAGCAAAAAGAATTGGCCGCCGACTATGCCTAATTATGACCTATTTTCCAATAAAAAAACGTTGAAGCTCTTTTGACTAGAATTTGTTAAAAATTGAAATTTATAGTTTTCAAGCTATAGATTTTGTATCTATAAACATAAAATGCAATTATAATTAAGTAAGGTAAGTAGATATGCAGTGGCGTATTCACTATTTTCTTCTTGGGGTGATATCCAAGAAAAACAAATATTCCTTATGTAAATCTTGCCCTCAGCCAAACCCACACTCAAATAAAAATAAATCGTTAAAGAACTAATATTTACCATTTTTTTTTAAATGAGCATCATTCTCAGTTAATATAGTTCTTAAAGATCCGAACCATAACTATGGTTCTAACTATGCCGTCTTTTTATTATTTAAATGAGTCAAGAATTATCTTTAAAAAGGGATAATATACAAGAAGTTCTTAAATATTAAGATATTGCTATAGTAAATGTTTTGTATCTCTCTGGCACACTCGACGCATAATGAAAACATGCTTTTTTAGGACTTCTAACAGTACTCTGGCTGCAATGGTCTTAAAACAATAATTTTTGCTTTTTACTAAATTAAAAATTAGAAAAATAGGAATTTATTGTATTAGCTTTATTTATATATAATTATATTTATTTATAGCTGATCTACAAATAAACATTATACATGAGTTCTTTTTTACAACTCAAATATTTTATTTTTATTCATTTTTCAACAAAACATAAAATAGATTAAAATATTAATAGTCCTACAACAAAAAAATACAAATTCATTAGTTAAAACATTTACATTTAAACATTATTTTACAGGCATATTTTTTTTCGGACCTTTTTCTTCAGATTCATTTTATATTAAATATTTCCTTTAGATCATCTAGCGTAACCTTTGTAGCTTCAGTACTACAACCACCAAAAAGACTTCTTGCAATTTCCAGTTTATGAGCCTGGATTTTTAGGTCAAATACAAAGTAGTCGATAATAAACATAGAGACCTAAACAATTTAGTATTTAAACTATGAAAAATCTTACTATGTATTGTATGGAAGCAGATTTTCAAAACATTATTATTCGAAACAACTTTTTGATGTTTAAATGGAAATTAGTGAGTTAGGATCATTTTAACTTATTAACTATTTTTTCCACAAAAGGTTTAAAAGAAAAACGTAATTTTTGCTGTAAACGTAAATGTGGTAATCTGACTAAAATAAAAACTAACGTATCCTCATTACTTTTATCAGAGTGTGTAAGTGTATATTTTAAAACTTTAGCTTTAATTTGAGCTTTTATTTTTTTATCTTAAACACCTGTAAACTTAAACAAATTTGATACATTTTCATAACGTTCATATTTTATAATAACAATAATTAAACTAGTAGTTCACAATTCTTGAAATTGACAGATTTTTGAATTTAGAATTAAAAGCAACTAGAACAAAATAGTTATTTCTTTATCACGAGTCGTTATATACGTTATACAATTATATTTTATAACAGTTATCCTATAACTATTTGATCTGGTTTGACATTCATTTTTATTTCTTAAATGCCTTAAGATAGTACAAATTAAAAATAAATAAGTTTTAAATATGGTAATAAATTGTATTACAATAATACAATCTGGTTGTATCAAAGGTTGTACAATAGAAATAAAATAAAATTCATAAACATGTTGTTTCAAAGTTAATTATTCACTCTTACAAATAAATAATTTATCTAATAGTTCACTAATTCTTTAACGGCTTGCAAGCATTTCCATTTATTTGGCAAATAAAACGGTTCAAAGACATGTGGAAATGGAGTATCATATCCGGTTACACGACGAATTGGAGCTTCTAGATGAAGAAAACATTCTTCCTAAAAGCATATTAGTAATTAATAATATTCATTCAAAACAATTAAATATTATGGAAGCTAAATCACTTGAATGGCAGCAGTTATTTCAGCACCGAATCCACCAGTTAAAGGGGCTTCGTGAGATACAATGGCTCGGCCAGTTTTTTTTACAGACTAAACACAAAACTATGATTAATTAAAAGAGTACTTTAGGTATTCATTTTTTGAAAATAAAATTACAGAGTTTTTAACAAATACAATAACTATGCATATTTGGGAAAGAGCAGAGACTGTTGTAAAATTGCCAGTTGGCCGATTGTTTTGCCGTTTATGAGACCATTTAGATTAGCGCTCTCGTGTTTGCTATTACAGTTACACAATTACTCACATGGCAGCATTCTCACTGCTCTCAATTAAGCAATTTTGTTTTGCATTTTATTTGTTTAATTTGTAACTAGAGAATGTTTGTCGGTCCTGCAAGGCTGAATGCATGTAATTAGATATGGCGCAGTTTTTAGAAAAAAGCTGTGTAAATGACACCCACGCGAGTACTCGAAGGTTTACAGAATAAAAGTCTAGTATTGAGCAGACTATAGATTGACTACACTAATAGTGTAGCCTAACTAACTAGTGGCTATTCATCAACCAACCATTTTAATATTTGGAGCTTAATTTTTATTCATTTCATTAACATCCAGTACTGTTTGCCGAACAGCAGCTGAATGGGATAAACTAACATCCATTTTGTTAAGTACCAATTATGGACTTCATTATAAGAAGTTTCTCAGACTGCTTTGATAAGTTCTAATCTGTCTTAGGAGGTGAACATTTCAATATAAATATCAGGAAACAAGTGACCATTAAAAGTGATATTGGGAAAAAAGAATAACTCAAATATAAAAAAATGATAAAAGATCAATTATAGTAATTAAAAGTAACACACTGTGACTTACATTTGCAATGGTTTGCTTATCCCACGGTAAAATTGTCACCAGATCAATAACTTCACAAGAAATTCCATATTTTTCTGAGGCTATTTCAGCAACTTCGAGTAAAACGTGAACTTGTGTTCCCCAGCCAATCAAAGTGACGTCTCTACCTTGAACCATGACATCGGCTTTTTCTAAAGGTAGTTCATAGTCCCCTTCAGGCACATTATCCACTGCTAGGCGATACAAGATTTTAGGTTCAAAGAATATGCACGGATTAGGATCTCTAATGCACGATAAAAGTAAACCTTTAGCTTTCATGGCACTTCGAGGCATAACTATCTATACAATTTAAATTATAATGATACTCTGGTTTTATTAGAAATTAAAAAAAAATTAAAATGGGTTATTTACAAAATTTAAATTATTTATTTATTTACCTTAAGTCCTGGAGAATGAGCATAGAAACTTTCAGGACTTTGAGAATGGTAAAGAGCTCCATGGCCAACCGCAGAACATGGTGTTCGCACAGTTAATTTACCACAATCAAATAGATTTCCAGAACGATAACGGTATTTTGCAGCTTCATTAACTAACTAAGGAAATAATAATACTACAAAAACCAAATAAGCAAATATTAGCTCTATTAATGTTATTATTCATAATAAAAATACTTGATCAAAAGCTGGGAACATGTAATCAGCAAACTGAATTTCTGCAATTGCTGTAGTACCAGCAACAGCAAGACCAATCCCAAATCCAACAATACCTTGTTCACACAGTGGTGTGTTAAAAACTCGTTCCTTTCCATAACGTTCACGTAACCCGCTTGTACACCTGAATACTCCACCAAATCCAACATCTTCACCAAACACTACTACAAAATTAAAGTATCACTTGTAACTAATTGAATACAAACAAATTATAAGCCATAACATTCCTTTTAGTACTTATAACATATATTTTATAAATACATAAAACTATATGAAACATAATTTTATAGATATTAAAAATTAAATTACCAGAATTTGGTTCCTTGTTTAATACTAAATCTATTGCATTATTAATGGCTTGATACATGTTTTGCTGTGACACTTTTCCTGTAATATACATAAAAATGTAAATAGGTAAAACTAATATTGGAATTCAAGAACTATTTAAAAGCAAAAGATACTAACCAAATGCATTAGAAGTCTGTTCAGGATGATATACAAAATGGGAAGAATATCTTTTTAAGCAACCATTTAACTTTTTTGATAATTTAAATATTAAACTTTTATTAACAAGATTCATATTATTTAAAATTTAAAAATCAAGCAAAAACTTTAAAAAAAAATAAAAACTTACAGTGAAGTGTGAATGTTAAATTTAATTTAATCGAACATCAAAGAAAAACACCTATACGATTATTTCAGATAATGTTGGATAATAAAATATTTATTATAAAATATAAAATTATGATTATTTAATGTAAATTACGAGTTGTATCTATTAACAAAATTTAAAAGCATGACTATAAAACCATAGAATAGATAATTTCATTATCTATTCTATATGATTTAATAATGCATTGAACGAAATTATCATAAACTAATAAGTCAGGACAATAACCTTTAGCTTTTTACCTATCTCATAAGCAACAAGTAAACGAACGTCAAACTGATAAAAAATACAAGGTATAAATTATAATATTGATGATAGCTATAAAATGACCGGGGAGTGAGAGAACCATGTTAAGAAAATTGATAATACAATTTAATAATTTAGGTCATACAAATACAAAAAAAAAAGGTTTATAAATATATGTCCTATAATGTCTTTAGTCCCAAACATTATTGAAAATCCACAAACAACAAACCAAACAAGTAACAACATTAGTATTATAATCAAGGTGGATTTATAAATCCACCTTGATTATAATATTGTACACATTTTTAATTTTTGTGTATAGCGCGGGACATGACATTTTTCATCATGGAATAAAAAGTATAGAATTATCATTATCAGTAATTTTATTTTATCACGTTAAAGTGGTTATTTGATATTTATTATTTTGATAATTATCATTTATCATCAGTCATCACGTGTTTACACTTTATATTTAAAAGTTTCGGAATTTGTCGGATTTTGCGCTTGGTAGAACTAATTAGTTATTTTATTTGTAAAAACAATGACGTCGGTTCATAAAGGACCATTGAAAAAAGTTCAGTCCTCTATAATAAAAGGGCCGGACAATCGAGAAGTCCGTAAAGTGACAGTACCGTCTCATCGTTTCACTCCACTTAAAGAAAACTGGTTGAAAATATATACACCAATTGTAGAACATCTCAAGTTAGATGTCAGGTTCAACATTAAATCGAAAAACGTGGAGATAAGAAATCCTTCGCCAACTGATGCAATAGGTTCACAACATTTACAAAAGGCTGCAGACTTCGTTCGAGCATTTGTGTATGGATTCGATGTTGAAGATGCATTGGCACTGATACGACTGGATAATCTTTTTGTTGAATCTTTCGAAGTAATTTTTTACACAATTCATTACTATTTAAATTAGACTTAATAAAGTAAATGGAACAAAAATTCAACCGTAAAAAATCCCTACATTCATTTAAATACCTTGGTTCGGCTCTGATCCATATTTTAACAGTTTGTACCCCAAGGAATATATGTACATCGTTCATTTCCGTCATTTAAAAGTATCTATGGCCTGATATATTTACCGCCTCCCTTTAATGGCTAAACAATTTTACTGTCCTGGGCAACAAAGGGTACTTATGCCATCTGAAATAAATGTATGTTATCACAGTTTTAGTTTAAAAACTAAGTAGTTTTAATATGTATGTAGTAAATACATTTTAGTATGTTTTAAACAATTGTAATTAGTTTCATTTGATCCTCTTTTGCAAGCTCGATGAAGACCCATCATATGATGTGACCTATAACTCACAGTCTCAGAAATATTTTGACTTACTTATTTTATCCATACTTCATAGTACTGTATTTTCACCACCAGCAAAAGTATGAAAAATAAAAAATGACAAGAGATACTTTTCAAGCTATTGACTGTAGAGATTTTTGTTTTGAAATTTGTAATTAGGTATCTAGATAACTATTCATAGTAATTGTATATCTATACGAGTGTTGAAGCTATTACAAATTATTAGATTCATTTCAATGTTTTTGGTTACCAATATATATTTTGAGAAATTGTTGTTCGAAAGTGAGCAATCTATGTGTAACTCTTCAGAGTTATCAAACCATTGAGTGGTTAGTCTAACCAACACTAATAATAAAGGTAGACAGTGAAACATGTCCAAAATATAAATAATTCAACAAAATGTTTCGTATATTTTTTTATTTAAGTTTTCATTAGAGCTTCATGTTAGTTTAATCAGATATTTTGAAACTATACAGATATTACTAAGAGGAATAGAAAAATCCTTCACTTTTTTAAGCGTTTACCTAATTAAAATTTGTTTTACATTTTTTACTTTTATGTTGTTAAAGTCTAATTAGACTATTCTCATTGGTATAATATACCTATAATTGTTTAAAAAATTTAAGTTATTTAATTATGTATTGTGTTTACAATCAAAATCAACCTAATGAAATTAAACCATTGTTATTTAAAGACACCCACAAGGTTTAACAAAACAAAATTGACATACTCTAAAACCGATGACATTTTCAAGGGCTTTGTAACTATAACTATATTGTTAATTTTCATTGTAAATATACTTAGGATAAGAATATAATAAAATATATGAACAAGTACTAAGTTAATAAACTTTTTTTGTATTACAGGTAAAAGACGTTAAAACATTAAAAGGTGATCATTTATCACGAGCAATTGGGCGGCTAGCTGGAAAAGGAGGACGTACAAAGTTTACCATAGAAAATGTTACTAAAACTAGAATTGTCTTAGCAGATACAAAAATACACATTTTAGGTTCATTCCAAAATATACAAGTAGCCATGAGAGCTATATGTAATCTCATTCTTGGATCGCCACCTTCCAAAGTTTATGGACAACTGCAACAACTCTCTAAGAGTAAAGTTTTGTAAATATGTATAATTTATGTAAGCAACTAAAATTAAAAATAAATAAAACAACAATGTTGAAATTACAAAAATTAGTTTTTAATAAAATCCAATTTGATAACATGTAAACTATTTTTAACACCAGTCACATTTTGCCATCTACCAAATCTGTGTTCATTGCCAATAGCAACGATTAATTTACTACCGTCATTTGTAAATACGAGTTCGTTGACAAAACCTTTAACTGGAACACTGCAGAGTGGTAATAACGATTTGAAATTGTTAGTGCATCTCCAAAATTTAACAACTCCGTCACAACTTCCTGATACTACTAAATCTGAATTTTTTAATGCTCCCACCGCAGATATCCAATTTGGCTCCCCGTTATTGCTATGTGTTCCATGGGCATTAATGACATTGCATAATGGTTTCTTCTTCAATGTTCCCCATAAACTAATAGCTCCGCTGTCGCCGCCTGTGATAAAGTGAGAACTGTCAATTTTTCTAATAGTATCTATGGAACCTCCAATACCATTAAATATTAATTGAGTTTCTTCTTGTATCTTCCATACACGAACTACATTCTCCATGCCACCTGCAGTTACAACACGATCTTTTTGTAACATATCCATACTGGTGACTTCGGTCTGATGACCGAAAAGAGTTTCTATGTAGCATAAATCAACAAGGTTCCATACCTTGACACTTTTGTCTTTTGAACAACTAAACAACTGATTTGATTCATTACAAATTGTTAAACCAGTTACACTATCTTTATGGCCTTTCAGTGATCCAATATATTCTAAAGTTGTAGGATTTCGAACTATAATAAGACCAGAACTATCACCAGATACTAAATAATTATCAGATACTGCAAGTGATAAAACTGGATACTTATGGCACGTTGGATTGTTTTGTGGTTTTTTACGATTATGAATTAAACACTTATGAACCTTTTTTTCCTGTAAATTCCACTGAATTATAGATGCATCTTTAGATGCTGAATAAGCAAATTTATCATCAGGTGATACAACTAGACAGGTGATCGCTTTAGAATGATTTCTGTTTCTCAATTCAAACAAACTAGTTGGTAGCTCAAGTTTGTCTGCTAGTTTTAATTTCAACTTGCCTTTTTGTTCAAGAACATCATCTTTGAGACGTTTGATAACGCTTTTGTTTAATTGTTCCCCATCATCGTCCTCTAATCGACGGCGTTCTTCTTCTTCGATCTCGTTTAAATATTTTTTGGCGAGTTGTACTTTCTTTTCTGCAGCTGTTAACTGCTTCTCGCCATCTGATTCTGACGAATAAGGTTCCTTTTCATGTTCGGATTCACTGGAATCCGATGAGATTTCGTCGTCGACGTGGTTTTGCGTTTTTTTCTTTTTTATGTTATTGTATTTTGAAACTTGCACTGGAGGCTTTTTGCGTTTGGTAACGTTTTTCCTAATGAAAAATGACATTTTTTTTATTCGAAATTATTAATAAATTACTAGGATGAAATAAATATAGTTTTAATGTCTGTAAACAAAACACACGCGACAGGATTTCAAATTTCAAACCATTTACCATGTTGACTCAAATTAAAAACGTGTGATAAGTGTCCTGATAAAGAAATTGAGGTTAATTCATGGAATAAAATATATTAACTAAAAATCATAAGAAAAAATATATTATGTACCTAGCTGTGGCCTAGAAGGCGTCAGTCTTTAGCAAAACACCTAATTTATCATAAGAGCAAAGAGTAAATACACTGCTTCTCACTTGATTCTTCTCATTTTTCAGTTTTCACTTAGCACAATTCGTTAGGTCGTTGGTAGTACGTTCTATTTATTGTTATACTATTATTAGTTCCAAGTTATTATCTTGAATACGATTGAAAAACGAAGTGAAGACAATTTATCCAAGTTATTTTGTGTAACGAAAAACGCAATAACTCAACATTGGTCAAAATGAGCTCAAATATGAGCGTAAACAATTACATGAACATGTTTACACAATCTCAGAATGGCGATAATTCCAAACGCGAGTCATCCGGTAAGAAACGCTTATAACACACACCTCTGTGGCGATTTGTACACATTTTATTATTATGAAATACCTACTGAACCTTTAGGTAGTGACAGCAGTGATCGCAAAAAGAAGAAGAAATCCCGATGGGGTGGCAGTGAATTAGAGAAAACGTTTATACCCGGGATGCCAACCGTGCTTCCACATAATCTTACAAAAGAACAAGAGGAAGCTTATATTTGTAAGTATTTAACTGTTTTTTTTTTAACATTATTATAATTTTAGATCTTTTACTACCTATTGATTTTAATCCTTGTCTTATAAATATTACTAATATCTACATTGTATTTTTAATAATATACACCTATATGTTTATGTAATTAAAAAATGAAATAACAATTTCTCCAGGTCTTTTATAATAATTATTTTACGACAGTTAGGTAAACTAGGTAGAATTGTTCCAGTATTTTTATTAACCACGGAATTATGGTAACATTAAAATTGAGTTTATACCTGGTACGTATAGATCAAAGTAAAAATACTAAAAAAAATGTATTTTTGATGGTTCATGTTATTATTTTGAATGAGTTCTGAACTTAGAAACAAGTCACTTCATCTACTATAATCTCAGTGATCCATAAATGTCAAATAGTAACTATATTATATCCTCTAGCTTAATATAATTATTTTATTTTTTGTGTATTTTATTAGATTGCAAGAACCTAATACAAAATTCTACTCAAATGAAAGATTTATTTGTTATAGTTATTTATTTTTTATTTTTTGATCATATCTCTTTATCAAATATTTTTTCTTCATATTAAGTACTTGATAGAATATTCAAGATTTCAATCGATCTTATATGTTTACAGTTATAACATGGACCAGTATTAAGTATAGGTAGTCAGTTACGTGTGTGGCTACAAAATATCCTTCATGGCTCATAAAGTATTCATATAATATTAAACAATTTTAGGTATTCATATTATTAACTTGCATGCTATTATTCATGTTAAAAAAAATAAGGTATGCAGTGTAATGTGTCAAAAGATATTATTTGTTTTTGTTATAATATTTACAGGTTAGCTATATCTTTTAATTTTCGCTCATGGTGTACACTAATTGCACAGTTTATTTTCTAAACTAGTCACTGTCTCATTGCTGTAGTTATGGCATTATAACAGAGACTATAATTGAAATTGAACTATGCAATTAAGTAGTGTAAAAAGTCAGCAAAAAACTGGAAATGAAGATATTTTTGTAGCTATTAGAAATTAAATATTAATAATAAAGTTAAACTTAAAAATATAATAAAAACTTATTAGGGTTACAAATATTTTTGCTGTCTGCAGTTAGTCAAACAAATTATTTTATTAATATTTATTCGTTTATGAAGTATAATAATAATGATAAAAGTACAAGAAAATAATTTGGTAATATAATCAATTATTGATCACCAATATGAGCTACATTATGCTAAAAATAAGTCTTTCGTAGTAGATAGATTGTATATAACTATACTGTATTGTTACAATCTTAGGTATCTTGGTCAATAAACATGTTATTATTGCGTATAATTAAAAGTACATTTTATTTTCATGTATTACTATTATTATTTATTTGTTATCTTTCATTTTTTTGTACTAATTTTCGGGCGTTTTTGCCCTGTTCTAACCCGTTTACATTACAGTACAACTACAAATCGAAGAGATTGGACGCAAGCTGAGAACTGGCGAACTAGGCATTCCATCTAATCCCGAAGAAAGGTTTGACTAATTTGTGGAAATCCATCAATTTATTATTTAGCATTGCCTACTTTCGATCTGTCAGACGGTTTGATCAACTTATAGTATTATTCTGTAATATGTAATATTATTTACTATTATTTGTTTTCGGTAAAGAAAATCAGCATATAAAAAAAAACAATATTAAGCTAAATGCTTAAAATAGAATTTTTAATAGCCAGTAGGTTTTGTAGTTCAAATTAAACACAACATAAATACTATTTTTTAAAACTGAAAAATATATGACTATTGTTAAATAAAAACTACCCTTTTTCTTACTTCATATCAAATATTTTTAGGTTGATATAGCAAACTTGGACTAATAATAATATATATATTTCAGTATACATTATCTAATAAAATATGTAATATGTATTAAGTATTAAGAGGCTGCTGAAGTATGTTACTTCCAGACTGAATTAATACTTAAGTCTCTAACCATATTGGTTCTAGAACAACAATATTTACATCATTGTGCATTGCTAGTGGCAGCCTCTTAACTTATTTTTAATTTATTAATATTCATTAGTCGTTGTCAGTTAATTTTTTTTATTTCCAAACAGGCTACATAGAAATTGTGTTTAATTTTATGATCTAATATTTATCATAAATATATTTTCATTAATCATCTTTTTTTCATTTAGCAGTATACTATGAGTTATGACTTTCAAGTTGACTGATGATTTTCCAGTGGACGGCATTATAAAATTTCAATAAAAATAAATTTGTGATAATGCCTGTGTGGCTTTAAAATAGTTGAACGTTTTTTAATAAGACATTTAAAACTGAGTCATGTAGATACCAAGAAAGCACCTGAAATATTGTTTCAGATCACCTTCGCCAGAACCTATTTATAGTAGCGATGGTAAGCGGATGAACACCAGAGAGTACCGAACTCGCAAGAAACTAGAAGAGGAACGACACAGACTTATTCAAAGAATGGCAATAATAAATCCTACATTTAAACCTCCTGCTGATTACAAGTAATTTTACAATAACTAATTTGTTAATTTATTTTATATTTTATGAATACAAAATAAATTGTATAATTCATTTTTAATGCATAATACATTGCAGACCGCCTGTCATACGCGTTAGCGATAAGGTAATGATACCACAAGATGAACATCCTGATATTAATTTTGTTGGACTTTTAATTGGACCACGGGGAAATACTCTTAAATGTTAGTAAAACATTTAAATACAGACATTTTTGAAATTTAATGTCAAATATAAATGTTTATTCTTTGTATTTTAGCAATGGAAAAGGACACTGGCGCAAAGATAATAATTCGTGGTAAAGGTTCGGTAAAAGAGGGTAAAGTAGCTCGTAAAGATGGTCAACCATTACCTGGAGAAGATGAACCACTTCACGCTTATGTAACTGGTAATAACCCAGAGTATGTTCAAAAAGCTGTGAATAAGGTAAGTAAATATATATATATATATATGTATATAAATTATACACCTGTATATTTAAAACTTGTATTTAATATTTTTTTTTTTTTTAGATAAAAGAAATTATAAAACAAGGTGTAGAAGTACCAGAAGGGCAAAATGATCTGCGGCGTATGCAACTTCGAGAACTTGCTCTTTTAAATGGCACACTCAGAGAAAATGACGGACCTCGATGTACTAATTGTGGTGCTGCTGATCATAAATCTTGGATGGTAAGTGATCGTCAAATATTGGACAACACCAAATTTAATTTAATGAAGTAACTAAGAACTAATAATAAATTTAATCATAGAAATATTTTGTTTAAAATTTTATTTTTTATCTATTATTGTTTTTTTTTTATAAATTTCTCTTTATAAATCATGTACTTAGGTTGTACATTGTTAAATAACTCGATAATGAAATAATATTTTTGTTTAATTTTTAGTGTCAAGACAAACCCAATATCACCAATAGTATATTATGTACTCAGTGTGGTGGTGCTGGTCATATTGCCAAAGATTGTCGAATGAAGTCTACAGGTGGTGCTAGTTTTCCTGTTAGTCAAGAAAAAACAAAAATCGATGAAGAGTATATGTCTTTGATGGCTGAACTTGGTGAAGGTCCTCCACCACCCAAACACAATGAAGATAATTCTATGCGCTCAACTAATAATACTGTCAGTGGCGGTGGTTTGTTTAATAAGCCTCAACCGTTAAAGTCTTTAATGTCTTTGCCGCCTCCACATTCTATCCCGAATTCTTTACCTCCTCCGCCTTGGTCGAATCAGCCGATTAACAGTGCGGCTATGCCTCCTCCAGGAATTAATGTACCACCACCCTGGCAAATGCCCCCTTTAGCCAATCAACAATATTCAAACATTCCGCCTCCGCCTCCAGGAAGTAATCAAAATTTTCAGCAACAAATGCCTTGGGCCATGCCTCCACCTCCTCCACCTCCAAGTCAACCCACATCTATGCCTCCTCCGTGGCAACAAGGTCCACCGCCAGCATCGTTATCTTCTGGACCAGTTACTACTACTGTTTCCGGAATGTGGCCTCCACCTACCCAGCCATGGCCTAGTCAACAACAACAACCTAAAGTTCCCCCACCAATACAACCATCTACAATCGGTTCATCAATGATTATGCCACCGCCCGATTTACAAACTTTGTTAGCTGTGCCTCCTCCACCTCCACCGCCACCTCCATCAAATTAAATTTTCTTTTACAAATTATTACTTCATTGTCATATTTAAGTAAAATAGTATAGTATATTTGATTCAACGGACATTATCTTCTGTAAATTATTTTGTACTGGGTTTTTAAAATGTGTTAATAATTTACAATAAAAAAAATTACAACTTCTAAATGTTGAAAATGGGACATTTTTTGGAATACCTTTGTGTTTGTTTAGTTTTTCCATTCCGAAATGTTCTGGATAAGTGACTTGATGAGTGTATTTTTTCTTATAAATTATATTTTAATATAAATTCAATATAATATGTAATATTATGATCATTGCTTTTTTTTTGGATAATTAAATAAAATCGATCTTATATCTTACTTTATATATACATAAAGTATAACAATTAAATAATTTATTTAAAAAAAAATGATTACATTCTTTATGATGGAATCTTGTGTTATACATTTTATTATTATTTATATAAAAACAAAATTAATGAAGACTACTCACAGAAGCAGGTAGTCAAACTAAAGCCTGTCCATTTTCAAATGTTAAAAATGGTAAAGAAAAAATCTGGACTAAAATTTTTTGCATACATAAAAAATATCCCTATTCTTTTAATGATACAAATTGCGAAAAATGAGATGGTTTAATATTAAACATTTTATGATTCCTTAACACCATTTATTAACTGCTTTGATTGATTGTTCCTGGAATAGAAGAATGCCGAATGGTTGTTTAAAATGTATAATACACCTTAATTATAAAACAATAATAATTATATAGTTATGATTTAAATGTAATGTCAAAATTGACTATAAATAAATGAAACATTTCACGAGAAAATGTGTTTTTCTACAAATTGACACTTTTTTCATGGAAAAATAAAAATTCTTATCAATTTATGCGAAAAAAAAACAGCTGGCAGTCCAATTTTTAACACTATTTTTATTTCAATTTTTCATTGTAAACTCGCAGTAATTACTGCAATATTATTTCTTTTAAAAGCAATAATATCAATTTTATAGATTTATTTCACATTACTACGAAGTACTAATAATAATTGTGGTCGATTCGATTAAACATATCAAATTCTTAAATTAGCCTAGCATTTTTTTTCTTAATTAACATCTAACAGCTACTATAATTACTATACAGCTATCTATAATTTACCTTACTTACAGTGTAATTAAAGCGACAGTATTGAGTTTTTGCCTGTCTTCTGGTAAAGTATATTCAATAAGAATTTTGTTGCGCTTGTAGCTGCGGACACTCGGTTTATGCACAAAGCGATATCATAATGAGCTTCCTGTTGTAAGTTAAAAAAAATAATATGAAGTCTGACCAATTGTGTTTAACGTCTTCTTTCATTCATTTCCAGTGGAGGCAGATCATCTAAAACATTCAAACCCAAAAAGAACATACCAGAGGGTACACATCAGTACGACTTAATGAAGCACGCAGCTGCTACGCTTGGTTCAGGCAATTTGAGATTAGCCGTCTTGTTACCAGAAGGCGAAGATCTCAATGAATGGGTAGCTGTCAACAGTGAGTTTTTATCTTATAAAAACATTTTTTATATAAAATACATTTATTTATTATTTATATTTTTATATGATATGAGTTGGCTCAACAGCTTTTTGTAATGGAAATATTTTATTACTTGTTTTTTATTTTGTACTACGATAGATATTTTTATTGCTTTAAAAATTAGGTATGACCCATAATTAATAACTATTAGTAACATACCTTTTTTGTGATAGTTAGTGGTATACTTAAATGATTTTTATATTTAATAAAGCAAAGGTAGTTTTAGTAAAATAAATCGGTAATAAAATATCAAAATGTGTTAAATAACGTTAGACTGGTTGATTAAACAAATAACGCTACGCCACGCCATATCCCTACTTCCAAATTTTAGTACATTGAAAATATTGATTTCACTGAATTTACTTGTACAAACGAAAATATGTCGTGTAATTTATTTTCAAATATCTAAAAAAATAAGTGATGTTCTTAATAGCAAACAATTAGTAAACCACTTGTTGATCAGTTTGGTTTTAAATTATACACAACTTGCATTAATATTACTTATTCTGTTTTAGCTGTTGATTTTTTCAACCAAATTAACATGCTTTATGGTACAATTACCGAATTTTGCACAGAGGAAAGTTGTTCTATAATGTCTGCTGGGCCCAAGTATGAATATCATTGGGCAGACGGTTTGACAGTGAAAAAACCAATTAAATGTTCAGCACCAAAGTATATTGATTACCTAATGACATGGGTTCAAGACCAACTAGACGATGAAACATTATTTCCATCAAAAATTGGAGTTCCTTTTCCTAAGAATTTCTTATCGATTGCAAAAACAATACTTAAACGGTTATTCAGGGTGTATGCACATATATATCATACTCATTTTGATTCAATTGTATCCTTGGGAGAAGAAGCACATCTTAATACATCTTTTAAACATTTTATTTACTTTGTACAGGTCAGTACAAAACTATTTATAATATCTATTGATGTAATGATTTGATATAATTAAGACTTTTTTTAAAACTGTTATGTGTGTTTTACAGGAATTTGTGTTAATTGACAGAAGAGAATTGGCACCATTACAAGATTATATTGATAAATTAGCTGGTAGAGAAACTAGATAAGCGCCTAATAATGTGGTACTAATTGAATTACACAAGCGCCTGGTTGACAGCTTTAATTTTTCTGATGTGATAACTTATTTTTATATTTACTATAACATTCACATTTCAAATGAATAGAATTTTAGTCAAATGGCATTCATTATCTATATTTATATATAAATATTATATTATATATTTTTTATGTAAATTATCGTCATCTAAACAATCTAATAATTGACATTAAGCACTATACTTTTTCTACCAAAGATAAACACAAATAAGAATAGTCAACAGTTTTTCTACAATTTTTTATTTTTTTACAATTATTATTTTATGATAGAATTATTAATATACTTTACTATACACGTGTATTCATATTTTAGTATTTATACTGTTTGCCAGAATAGTAAGTGCAATAGAGAATGCCGATTAGCTAATAATTTAAATTCTCTATTCAGTATGCATAACAAGGTGTTGTTTACATTGCTCTTTATATGTTGATGCTAACATACAAGCTTCTTACACAAATTCATTAATTATTATGATTCATAATGGTGCACATGTGATAATATATAAAAACTAAATGTAAGCAATTTTTTTTTTTGTAAATTAGTTCCTATTAAGTCAAGGCAATGTACAAAGGTTATTTTTGATTAAATTATAGTCACAACTAGCCAATAACATAAACATATTTTATAAATTGTTTATTAACTCAAAAGTTCCAATATATATTAAATAATTAGTCTAACGAATTAAAAAAAAAAATTAATTTAGTATTTCTTTTGATAATATTACAAACATTTTGAAAGAGGATTCTATACTAGAAAAGTTACTAGCCAATTTCTATTATTTTCATTTTGATAAAAATATATCTTTTGAAAGTAACTGTTGTTTTATACTTGTATTTCTAGTGACTAAACAAATTTTATTCATATTTCAAAGGCATTACAAATCTTGGCTTAAAAGTCTTACGCACCCAAAAAACAACATATTTTAAAAATGTGTTTGAATACTCAAAGTTGAGTAACTATAGGAATAGTGGCAATTTCTTTTCACTGGATAACTTTTTGGCCAGTAAACTGCCACCTACAGTTTTAACGTGTGAATTTTTAAATGCACAATTTTTATATAGCAAAATATTTCACTATGTCGTTATCATACATTTTTTACTAAAACAAAAAAAGTTTATAAACTCAAATTAAATGAGTATTAATCAACATTCAAAACTACATAATATAATAAAAATGATAATAACAATCATTGCATATTTCATGCAATATAATAACATAATGTATTTCAATGATATTTTTGAAAGAGGAATTTTTCATTCAGCCAATACTAGAATACTAGAGTTGTTAACTGAAATTATTTTCAGCTTAACCTTGGTCTTAGGTGCTAATATATTACTGTTATTTTTAATATAAAAATTATAATATTCAAGTTTTTATATTATTATTAAAAAAAATAACACTATAGATACTTATTACTACGTTATATTACTATGCCGTGTGAATTTAGTTTTTCTCTAACGATTTGATGTGCATCGGCATTAATATTTGTAAATTCTTTGTATGTAAACTGCAATAATAAAAAAAAATGATTAATATTGTGAATAAATATACACATAAACTAGAAATCCTTACTATGATTGGTTCATATCCAATCTTCTTTAGTTGTCGAAGTTTACATAATGTCAATCCAGTAGGCTCTGTACTGTTTAAAAGTAGAGCGTTTCGCCCAAGTGACACAACAGCAAACCATTTGCCTAAACTAGGTGGTTTCGTAAAATCATGAAACACAGTCTTATTTTTCATTGTTTTTGGAATGATTATTGGTTGTCCTTCTTCATTAATACAGAATAACATATCTATCGTAAAAAAACAAAGTTAGTAAAAAATCGTATAAAATATTTTCCTCAAAATTTAATATTTTAAGCGATCCTTAAATATCACCATTATTAGTATATTCTTTTTATTTTAGATAACTTTTAAAATTACAAACCTGGTTTTGAATGATGTGGTAATGGATAACATATGTGTAAAAATGATTCGTCGATAAACAAACAAATTAGTTCTCTATGAAGTTTCAAGATAAATTTATCGGTGTAAGTAAGTCTATTGGAATTGTCCGAGGTAGGTATATGCCAAGCTAAATGCTATAACACATCAAAAGAGTTATAAAGTGGGTATAAAAATAAATAAATCAGTTAAAAGATGTTTTTGACTTGTGCAAATACTGCCATGTGCTAAAACTTTAGCAAATGGCAATTACAAATGATAAAACATCTTTTATGATTTTATGAAATAAAAAATACCGAAAACGGTGGCATTTTCTTTTTAAAATCTCAAATAAATGTTGTATACCAAATTTTCATTTTTTCAAGGTAATAGTTTGTATTTTTTGATTTTATATGCATATTTGTTTTATTTTTAATTATAAATATTGGAGACCTAAAGACATTGTTTTTGGACAGTATTTATCAAAAGGAAGCTAGAGCACAATTAGCTACCTTATCCTAGTAATTTGACGTTATATTGTTACTGTAAATCTAAACCTCTTCAAATTAGTTTTTTTTTCTATTGAAAGCATCTAAGTTTGATGACGGTTATATTCTGGGTATAATCCTATTCAGAATGATCTTAACTTATTTTTCATAATTTTGAGAACTAGTCCCTTTCTAGTAAATGCTGTCCAAACAAGCTAGGTTTTACTTGTTAGTTGAAAAATGATAAAAAGTATCATGTTGTTTAGTAACTTTTAAACATACATTGTTGCAAGATTCCGTTAGTTTATCTGGTAAAAATGGTCCTGTATAGTCAGGACATTCTATTAGAAGACTGTTGCTCAAGCTTAGCACATCACGAGTAATATTAAACCTGTTGAGTTTTTTACCTGGAAAAGGAAATTGATAAAACATATATACATACAATTGATAAATTTTAATAAATTGGTAAAATATAAAAAAAATTAACACATGAAGAGTTAATAACATTTTCTAATCATTATATACTTACCAAAGCATTTGTGTAAAAATTCAACACTTAGTGCTTTTGAAATACAATCATATGGATATACATTATTTGTTGCTAGGTATGATAGCGTAAAAACATACGGTCTACAATAATTATCAATTTCTGTTTCCCTGTTATTTCGAAGTTCCTTAACCACAACATCAAATATACAAGGGTTTGTTTTTGGATTATGATTCAACATTGTCAAAGCTAATGTAACTCTTTCTAAATCCTAAAAAAAAAAACAACAAAGTTATGTTTAATATTATTTCTGCTGCACATATAATGAACTCTTGTGGGTAATAGAATTATATACATAGGTGCAATTTCAATTTTTAACTCGGGGGGGCTGGACATTTTTAAAAAAAATATATATATAAGTAAATATATTTTTGTATTTTAAAATTGTACGCATAACCTAATTTTTTTGGTGGGGCTATGTCTAGCATTGGGGGGGCTAAGCCCACCCTAGCCCCCCGTATTTGCGCCTATGATTATATAACATACCTTAATGCGAGTTTTCGATACTTCATTGACTAATCTTTGTGAAACTTTGTTTAATAGTTCATCGTGCTTCATTAATAAATTAGTACCCAACAATGCCATATGAACACAACATAGTAGATTAACATAATCAATTTGGTCTACTAAAACATTCATAAGCTTGCGCATTGAAATATGATTTATGGGCTTTGAACAATACCTAAAAATCTACAAGTGTAAAATTGGATCTATAAATATTATAAAATAAGATATAGCTTAATTTACCTTCAAAAACGCAGCTAATTCTACACTGTTTATCTGCGACATGTTTGACAAAACAGATGAATACATTTTTTCAATTATATCAGGATTACGAATAGGAGTTTGAGTTTTAAAAAAACCCAAAGCTATTATACCAAGTTCTTTTACATTAAAGTCATCGAAATATGAATTCAATTCATGTTCAATGTCATACATTGGTAATGTAGAAATAAATTTTCTACTTGTGTTAGCATAAAACATCATTTGGACCAGTTGTTTTGGAGTCAATCTGAAAAAAACAATAACTAGAGTCAAATATTGTGATAAACATTTTACATGCAAACATCATGGAAATCTAAAATGATACATACTCAGATGATATGTAAGACTTATATTCATGGATTGAAATTTTTCATAGGTATACAATTTAATATATTTATATTTAATATTAATGTATAATACATAAATTTCATGTTTACCTTGAAGGTCTTCGACCAAGTTTACGAACACCCAACCATACAAAATTACTTAATTTTGACATTCTTGCGTTATACCAATGATCCATAAACAATAAAGTTTTATTTAGGGACCAATTTTTGTATCTTTCTATACACTGTTTATCAAAAACTGACCAGAATTTAAAATATAATGGTACTTTAGCACTACATATATTCCACAATGGAAGAACTTTAAGAAAATTCAACAACTGGTCATCAGACATTTGTGGAGCAACTGCTATTAATCGCTCTCTAAGTTTTTCAAACATTTCATCTATCAAATAAAATTGTCTACCCGATGCGTAAATGCTTATCTTTTGAAAATCGTCACAAATTTCGTCTACTGATCTTATTCTATGATCTTGAGTGATTAAAATATGAAACTGTTCATCAGTAACTAAAGGCCAATTTTTTCTCTCCTGGGAATCCATCATAGTTTCACTGTACATAGGGTCGTTGGCCATGGTGTTATGTGCATTAACATTTTCATACCCCAGATACTTGGTAGATGGTTCTTGAAACGATACTACACACATTGGCCGGATTGTTCTACTACCGAAATGACTTGTAGGTTTAATAATTTTGCAATTCAACAACAAAACACGACCCAGAGTCGAGACATAATTAAGGGCTCGACTCATTTTAGTGTGTACTTATAAGTTATGTAGGTAATATTTATAAATATAGAATACTAAATTACGTGTACTTTGTAATATTTTTAAATTCACATTTTTAAATAAAAATATTGGAACTATGAAATTCAGTTATCACAACACCGGACACACATGACTTACGAGTTACGGTCACAGATCAAATCTATGGTTACTGTACTGATAAGTGTTAACACTGCAGATAATAAAAGTGGTAAAGTGATAAGCCATATAAATATAGAGTGGGGCTGTGGGAGCCGGGAGGAAGGAGTAGCCCACTATGGAGATTGAAGAATTTGCCTATGCTATAGGTCCCTGCGTCAAAATAAAAAATGTGTTTAAAATACTTCACATAAATATACCTCCCATTTTTAGTTTTGTGTCAATAATAATATTTTAATAGTGATAGGGTGATTGTAAATAAATGTAAAAACTGTTTAAATTATATTATGTTCGACAATAATTGTCAATTCAAAAGGCTTTTAAGTTTTAAGGTGATTCGATACCGGCCGTTTTTTTCAGTCAAAACACATCATATTTTGTCCATCGCACAGGCCGAACCAGTAATCCGATAAGTAACATGAAAACAGATTTGAACTCTTTATGAAGTTTACTTTAGATCCTACAAGGCACTTTTTTCAATTATTAATTTTAACCCTTTACAAGTTTGATTTTAAAATTTGAAATTTTATAAAATGTTCAAACGTTTCTTATTCATAGTAAGAAAAAGAAATCAAAAAAGTACCTCGTGGGATCCCAAGTAAACTTAATAACGAGTTCAAATCTGTTTTCAGATTACTAATCGGATCACTGGTTCGGCCTGTGCGATTTAAAATAACATAATGTTCGTAATTAAATATTTATTGTAATATAATTTTTTATTTATTTTGCTAAAAAAATAAAAACATTATCCATATACAATACAAATGTATATACATCAAGGATATTATTAAGCCCATTCACCCCACTGAGGAAAACCTCGTAAAAGTAAAATATGTTTTTGTAAAAAAAAAGCCTGTATTCGTTATAAAAGTTGAAAAAAAATTAAATATCCAAATAAATCTCCTTTTTTTATGTTAATATAATATACGAGTACATATCCAAATTTTAGCAATGTTAAGTTTCTGTGAAAATTGCCTATACAATGCACCTTAATAAATGCTAGTGTAGAGTTCCATAAAGACAATAGAATTATTATGTATTACAGTTGGGAAAAAAATAACTGGTGATTTCCGTGTAGGTATACATCATATTTGTACAGTTTATTAGTATCATATTAATATAAAAACTTCATTTCATAATTCGATAGTCGATACCGACCATTTTTAAGGAGTTTTGTAAAGGCAATATTTAAGAAAAATGTGGTTTCAATAAAATTTCGACCATCTCAATTAATTTACCGATATATCTGTATAAGCTTCATGGTATTATTTTTAATATAAATAATTTTGTCTATGAGTAAAAGCAATTTCAGTTAATATAATAGTACATATTTTGTCCATCGCACAGGCCGAACCAGTGAACCGACTAGTAATCTGAAAACAGATTTGACTCGCTTCTACGTGTGTTTCTCCATCGACTGGTGCGAGCCGCGAGGTAGGAAACTTAAGAAATTTGAAACCTGAAGAATTGGCATTTGATTGGTGAATTTTTATTAATTTTAGTTTCCTTGATATTACTTCAATATGTGATAACAATTCCCGCGCATTCTTTGTTGGCCAATATCAACAGCTGACAGTTGTACTCCAGTGACAACTGACAAGTCTCAACAAATTTTTACTTATGATTGTTTTACCTGTGGTTTTACATTACTCTTTAGTCTGTGATAAATGATAATTTAATTTATTTACTAATTAGTAGGTATACGAGTATAGGTTACTATACGGTACACCGGGTACACTGTAATTTTTTAAGTCGTGTAACATACTCTCATTAACGTGTGTAATTACTAAACAAATACAATTTTAATGCAAGAATTTGAACGTCTGTTGAGTCATTAATATTAATATATCGGTGGTTATCACCGCTATATTCGACATTTTTTTTTAAAATAAATTCTATGTTATTGACGAGTTTTATAATTAAATATTTTTCATAATAATTCATTACATCCAAAAATTATCATATTTTTTTTACCAACCAGGTGTCATTAAAATTTTGGTTTTTAACATTTTGTACATTTCATCACAATATAAGGTACATTTATTAAAAAAAATTTTTAAGTTACATTTTGTTAATTACTTGCTATTTTATTTTTACTAAAAATAATAAATATTGCTGCTTATACTTTATTGTTTACTTTGTGTTAGTCGTTGGGCACTTAAGAGATAATCACCAAATATCTACTTAAAATACAAATTAAGGAATAAGTGACTTAGCTATTAGCATCATTATGTATTATACATTTAGTAGGTGTTTTAATTTTGAGTCTACAGTCTCAGAATGCAGTATATATATTAAAAATAATGAAATAAAATTCAACAACAATAAGATATAGTTCCTATTTAATGTCTGAGAAGTATAATAGTAATATTGTATATTTTTAAATACTTTATTTATGAATTATATGGAAATTTAATACACTTTATACTATTTGTCAGTTTAGTATTTAATTGAATGAAATTTGGGTATTTTAATTAAATTTAAATTAATTTCTTCAAAAAACAGTAATTATTAGCAAAATAAATTATTAATCCTTTATTTATGTAGGTGTATAGTATGGAACGGTACATAATGAATGCGTACTATTATATTAAGAATTTGAAACAGACCTATATTTTGATAGGTTATTTCTGGGTAATTTTTTATAACTTAGTTGTATTGCTTAGGTATATTTTGTGTATGTCTAATTTAGTATTATCTATCAAGTTATATATATTTAAATATGTCTATTTAGTATTGTGTAATTTATATGTATATTTTGTTTTTTAAAATTATTTTTAGATGAGTAATTTGGCAACTACATTATTGACACCAACAAGACGTTCTACTCGTATTAAATCGGTTGATGAATCAACTCCTAAAAAATCATTAAGGTCAAACAAAAACATTGATTATTTATTAGAATTGGACATTGATGGTTGCAAAATTATACCTCAACAAAGTCCAAAATCTATGGTATATAAAGTAAAATATCTTAAAAATTGAAATTGTTTTGTTTCCTTATTAGTGTATATTTTTTTTAACTTTAAAAATTAGATACAGTCATATAGGTAATATAGGTATTAAATGTACTGTCACCATGAATTATTTCTTAGCTTAAAAACAGATATTAATTTGTATTATAATTTAAAATTAAATGACACTATTAAAACATTTATGTAAAATGTAATATGGTATCTACTTGAATGTTTCTCTACTAATATAATTTAATTATAAAATATAGACCGTTATAAAAACTTAAATTTACTTTTTCTGAGAATTTACTAGTTATAAAAATATCCTTTCATTTGTTTTCTGTCAATTTAACATTTGTTAGCATAATAAATTATTAATACAAATTTTACTCAGCACAAAAGTAAACAATTTAATGTACTCATTTCAGATATATAAACAACATTTTTTTAGAAAAAACTATTAAAATGATTTAGTATTATGTAGATATTTTAAATTCATAATCATAGGAGATAACTGCCAAATTGTCCTAATACAATTTGTCTCCTGCTTTGTAGTTTGATTACAAGTATAATTTATTTATTGTCTTTATGGACTAATTAGTTCAATGTATTTTTTTACCTATAAACAACACTTAATAGCATTCACAATATTTTTTCTTAGAAAATAAAAACCAAAACTCCAACAGAAAATTTAGATAAAAATGAGGAAAATACAAGAAAAATCAATCAGATAATTCAATTAGTATGCATTAAAATATATTTTTCCTGTTAGTAAAAGTATAAAAGATAATTGAAATTATTTCTTTATTTTCAGAAAGAATTAAAATTAAATATAAAACGTATTGATGAAACAAACTACATTTCTATTTTGTCACCCAGTGCATTTAAAGTAAGTACAGTTGTAATCATTTATTATGTCATCTGGGTCTACACCTTTCATCTTTTTAGTTATATATTAATTTATTATTGTCCTTAATATAAATATAATTGTAACATTTGCTTTTATCTCAGTATTATTGGCCTGTAAAAAGTATGAGTAAAATCAAAATAATAGGTACACATTAATTTTTTTTTTTTAAATTAGCATTTCTGTTTTGCATTTGAAAATGTTAATACTGAATTGGATATGCTATATTAAATTATACTAATATGTAAAATATGTGTATTATTTAGACAAATCCAAACTCTCAAGAAAACAAAGTACCTGAAAGGGAAAATAATTCGGCTACTCCAAAAGTATGTATTTTTATTAATTTTAATAATTACATTACTATTATACAACAAAAAAAAACTATGGTTTTATTAATAATAAAAATAATAATGCTTTTTTTAAAAATTAATTTTATAGAGAAATATGAGAAAGTCTACAAAGTGGAATTTACGAAAAGAAAACAATGTTAATGACTTAATAGATAGAATTTTAGATGATGTTGATGGAGAAGATGACATTGCCGATGATAATATTTTTCAAACTCCCAAAGTATATTTTACTTACTTTTATAAGATATTGTTTATAGAATTATTTCAACGACCTAACTGATTTATAATTTTTTATTAGAAAAGTTCACGTAAAAAATCTGTAAGTTCATGTAATAAACTGGATTCGTTGACTCCCATTACTCCAGTAAGCTATAATATATAATGCTACAATGGGTTTCTAAGTATAATATTTGATTTGCTGTTTTTACAGAAACGTGTGAGAAAATCGGTCACACGATTTGGTGACACCGTGGATTTAGACCATTTAGATATTGATGAAAAAACTCCGGATAGTGTAAGTTACAAGTATACATTTTTTATTACTTTAGTAAACAATAATTTAGTATAAATGGTTTTTTTTAATTATCAATGTAATTGATTTCATTATAAATTTGTTTTTATTATCGTTAGAAACAAAAACGTAGAAAGAATATTACGGAGCTAACAGCCGACAGTGATGATGACAAGGATTTTGAAGTTGATATTTGGAAAACGCCTGTGAATGTTAGTAATTAATAGTAATTTATAAATGTGTACAGTAGCACTCAAATGTCTTTAACAGAGGGTTTTCCACATGCAAGTAGTACCAGTGTAGTATAATACTATAGTGTCTGGTGTACATTTTTTTATTGGTCGCGAGGCAATTTTTTTTTTGTTGGAAATAAAAATGGGGAAGATATAAATTCAAATAATAAGTTAGTTTTAGCAGCTTTTGTGTACAACTGTATTTAAGAGGACGCCACACACGCCATTTTTTCTTGTGAACACAAGGGACATAGATTAGCTAGCAACCTGTAAACATTACTAAGTTAAATAATCTCCTAACATATTATACAAACTGATGTTGGCAGGACGCAGTGCCATAGCAAAGAGAGGCACAAAGAGCAAGTTTGCCTCGTTACCAAAATAGTTTTGATTATATAATATCACGAGTGGCTAACTTTAGACTATCTTGACTTAAATCTTGAATTTTAAAATTATTGAAAATAACTTAAAAGAAATAAAGTAGTTAAAATTTTTTAAAAAAAAAATGTACAAAATATTTTCTACTAGTATTTCGGGAAAGTTGTACAAAATAGGCTGATTTTTAAATAAAAATTATTAAGAGGACGTTATACCATTTAAAAATAATCGTAAAAAAGGGGTTTACAGTAAAGTTTGTAGGTCAAAGAGTATTAGTCATAGACCGTTAAAAAGAGGAGAACTTTAACAAGGTTCTCTCGTTGGTTTTTATGGAAAACTTTAATTTTACCTTTAATACAAGTACTTAAAATTTTTTAAAAAATGTCAGAATTAAAATATAAATTGTAAATGTTGGGTTCATAATATCAAAAAAGCTGACGAAATAACCTAGATAAAGTTCTTATTATTTTAAATATGTAAAAAAAAAAAATGATCTACGATTGTTATTTAGTTGATTAGAGAGAATATGCGTAGCAAGTTTAGATGACTTTTTTTTTTTTAAATCGCTGTCAAGGATGCTGTGAGATTTTGAAAAATAAATAAACTACCAAAAAAGAATCAAGATTACTTAACTAATAATCAAACATCATAGTTTAGCCTTAAAATTACAATTTTACAATAAATTGCCTATACCTAACTCCTTAATAAATAGGGGGTATAACGTCATCTTAATGAAAGCTGTAATAGAATAATAAAAAAATTAACCATCAATAAAGTATCCTAATCACTCGTATAAATGTACAAAATAGTTTTGGCTGTAAAGGTTTTTAAAAAAAATTGCTTACTCCCATGCCATAAAATGTTATATCTGTGGTGTCCTCTTTATTTGTATTATTATTTTTCTTTAAACCTTACTTATTTTAAATCATAAGCTATTATCTTCTTCATTATAGAAACGTTTGCGACAGTCTATGACACCTACTACTCGTTCTGGTTCAAAATCATGCAGACGAATTCTACAAGATATACCAGAATATGATTTGATTTCAACTCCTAAAACTCCAAAAAAAACTCCGAAAGTAAAATGATTATTGACTAAATTTAGAAATGTATTTACACAATTAAAAATTATGGTTGTATTTTTCATTAGGCTCATGTAAAGTCATTGATAGCGTCAGCCAGCAAGAGATTAGATAGCGGTGCAAAAGTTCCTTGTAGTCCCTTGGAAAAAGCTAGAGCAAATTTACATTTGCATGCAGCTCCAAAACATTTACCATGCAGAGAAACTGAATTCAAATCTATCCGTTCGTTTTTAGCTAGAAAAATAAGTGATGAATTAACTGGGTAAAATCTAATAAACTATAAATTCACTCAATGCAAAAAAATATATTAATTTTGTTTATACAGGAGTATGTATATAAGTGGAGTACCCGGTACTGGTAAAACTGCAACAGTCAAAAGAGTGATAGATTCATTAAATACTGATTTGATGATGAAACACTCGTTCAAGGTAATTGTGATATATAATAAAACAATCATAATAAGATGTAACTTTTAATTAATTTCCCCCAAGTTTGGTGGAATATGTCAATAAATTTATTTTTATTTGTTAATCATGAACATTATTTAAAATTATAGTTTATTGAAATCAATGGTTTGCGATTGGCTAATCCACATCAAGCATTTTCAGTAATTTGGAAAGAATTAACTGACCAAACGGTTTCTACAGCTCGAGCGCAAGCTCTACTTAATGATTATTTTTCTGGTAAACAAGCCAGAGAAGTATCGACTATCTTATTGGTTGATGAGGTGACACTATAATTGATATTCAATAAGGAATTTATTTTTCATAAATCAACTTTCTTCATCTAGGTTGATCATATATGCAATAGAAAACAAGATGTTGTGTATAATATACTTGATTGGCCTACACGAATGGGCTCTAAGGTGGTTGTAATTACCATCGCTAACACAATGGATTTACCTGAAAGAGTTTTAAGAGGTTGTGTGACTAGTAGAATGGTAAATATAAAATTGGTTGCTCATTAAATGCAACAGTTTTGTATAAATATATTAGTTGTATTAAACTATATCTTATTTATTGTATTTTAAGTTTTATTCAATGCTCAAAGTGTATTGCTATATTTTTTATGATGTATAACTTTATTTTTAGGGATTAACAAGATTAGTATTTAAACCTTACACATTCCAGCAATTACAAGAAATAATAATGAATAGATTAGTTGGTAATTCGTCATTTGATCCTGATGCAGTACAATTAGTTTCCAGGTTAGATTTATTCTATTTTATGAATTTTAAGTATTCTCGTAATGATAATATTATTTTTTAAATTATACCATATTAAACTCTTTTAATGTATTTTATTTCTAGAAAAGTAGCAGCTGTGTCTGGTGATGCTAGACGAGCTTTAGACATATGCCGACGAGCTATAGATTTAGTTAATAGTGAAGATGGGTCTCAGATGATATCAATTAGTCATGTTAATAAAGTATTGAATTCAATACTCTCTGGTCTACGTGTAACCGCTATTAAGTAAATATGTATTCTCTGGATCATTTTTAAGTTGAATGTTTACGATTGGGCAATCAAAACTAGATTTTTCAAAAATGTCTGGTTCTGATTTCCAGGCAATGGCTGAGTGGTGCTACTTACTGTCAGTTTGTTTAGTCGCGATTATAATTTTTTTACTTGAGATAAAATATTAATTTTTTATAATTATAGTTCAAACTAGTTAATAACCAAAATGTTGGTACCTTATTTAAAAAATTTAAAACTTCAACGACTTGATTAATGATTGACTATTATTTATCAAATTAGATTAATAATTATTTTTATATTGTAGGTATTGTAGTCTCTTTGAACAATATTTTCTTAGAGCACTTCGAGATGAAACAACCAGAACGGGTGTTGATCATAGTACAATTGATTCTGTTTATATTCAAATGAAAAATATTTGTCTGCTTGAAGGTGAATATTTAATTACAAAAAATGCAATATTATACATAGCATTATAATAGATAAGCCAATTTTTAATTATTGTTCTGTTGTAAAATTAGGCGAAGAATTACCCAACGACCAACAAGTGATAATGATGGCTTATAGGTTAAGAGATAACGGTTTAATTTTTCTCGAAAAGAAACGTTGGGACATTTTTAGGAAAGTTTCACTCAATGTCAGCCCAGAAGACATAAGTTATGCTTTAGATAAGTATAACCAATAACAGAACATTTTATAGATGATATTTTTTATGTGATTTGCCTCAAACTTTATATAGTATTTTCTTTTTATACAATCTTTTTTGTTTATGTATTGTAATATTCAGTTTTTGAATCAAACTTTTTAATGCATTTTTTAAACGACCGACTGATTTTTTTTTGTGACACTATTTAGTATTAAATTAAAAATATAGAAGTTATTGCACAATGCATGTTATAACTTTTAAAAATTGGTTGAAATTTTATAATCAAATATTGATTTCATTCCTTAGTATATTTGAATTAAATACATTTATTTTTATTGTTTTTTTTTAAATTATTTTTAAGATGTTTTTAACTTATAACAGAAATAGGGCGATTACATTAATTATGTTTTAGTTTATTCTGAATAAATAGAAAATACTTATATGTATTGGCAAAGTTGTTATTATTTTTTTTTTTTAAAAGAGACATTCACATTTATCAAATTATTTTTGTTTTTATTATTCATCTGGAGGAATAAATGCCATATTACGTTTAGCTTCTCTTTTAATTTTCGCTTCCTTTTGTTTATCTTCCTTGACTTTTCTTTTCCTTTTTTGCCTTTCTTCTTCTTTGAGAAAGTATTCACCAGACTCGAGCATTTTATCTATTTTACTTTCAGTTGGCGCAGGTGGGAATGGAGTGTATGGTTTCTTAGCTTTTTTCGAGGATTTCTTTTTAGGCACATTCTTGGGTTTGAAATTTGGCAAAAATCTATCCCAATTTTCATTTTTTAACTTGGGATTTCTTTCGAGTTCACGTTTAATCATTAAAGCTTTAATGTTATAAATTGGATGAACATTTTTCATTGTCTCCATTACTATACGTCTCACCTAGAACATTTTGAATAGATAATACAATATTTAATAATAAATAAAAACAACAAATTTCTACATACTTGTTGAAGACCTTTATAAGGCCCAAGAGCTGCTACAGTTTGTCCTTGGACAAGTACATAACAATTGGTTAATAATTCTATTGACTTAAGAGTACATCCTCCTGGCCCGATAAGCCGTTGTCTTCTTTTAACAAACTTGTCACGATTTCTAACTAGAGAACCAATTTTTATAATATCGGCTGCCATGTCATCTTGCATAACACGCACAGCATGCTCGTAAGGAACACTCCGTGACAAGAGTTTTATTAAATCTCGAGCTTTCAAAATTGACGCAGGGTCCCATGTCTTACGTGTTGTACGAACTGTCATACTTCCTTCCAATAAGTCAAGGTCGGCTTTAATATTGTATTTAGATAAGGCATTTTGAACAAGTGGCCAGCATTCCTTTAAATAAGCTTCTCGGTATTTAGGAAACAATGTGGCAAATGAACTTTCTTCTAAGAGCCCATGGGGATTATCTTCAGGGCGAAACTCGGGAACTTCAGTTTTCCAGGCGTTTTCCATTGGAGATTTTTATACTGAAAACATTAAGCGACTATTGTAAAGTTTGTCGGTGTCTAAGTTTTCATTTCTCAAAATTAAAGTCTAAAAGCATGCACTACAAATAAATGAAGCTTACCTAAGGACTGGAATAAATTACAAAATACAAATATTTTCATCGGTTTCATTCTCTATTAACGTCAATATTATTGTCAAACGACTCAGAACTTTGTAATGGAAAACAAACTGTTAAAGAAACGCGCATGGAGTACTCTGAACTCTCTGCTGTTATCAGTATGATAAGATTTTGATACATAACCAAAAAAATTGTATGGAAAAAAAAATAATGCCTTCTCTCCGCTGGTAGCGCTACGCTTCTGGTTCTCCATATTCTTTGCCTTATCATAAATGTTTCATGACTTATTCTTTTGGTGGCCGATCTAAACAAATTCATTTTCACACAACACGTGTTCGATTTTGACAATTTGTCTTGATTTTGGTCGATTTATTTACCAACTTCCAATTATTCAAAATGGGTTTCGCTAACGTATGGTATTCGCATCCAAGACGCTACGGCCAAGGTTCCCGTTACTGGTAAGTCGCACGATTTGCTTAAATTAAAATTGTCCACATAGGTCAAAAGGCAGTCTAAGTAAAATGATAATGTGAAAACTTCTTTTATTGTATTGTACTAGATAATTGTATTAATTTTGACTATTTATGTTTTAGTCGGGCGTGCACCAACAAGCATGGTCTGATCAGGAAGTATGGAATCAACCTTTGTCGTCAGTGTTTCCGTGAATACGCCAACGACATCGGCTTCAAAAAAGTAAGTGGATATTACCGTTGATTAATGCCGGGTTGCATAAACGTTTAATGAATCAATAAATGGTTAAGGGTTCCTTATAATTAATTTAGTGGCCCGTGATTAGTCTTATTAGTTTTATTAATTCTTTATGCAACTCGACATAAGTATACTATAAGATGAATGGAACGCCTGCTTATGGATTTGAGGCTCCATTTTTGGATTTCATATTTGTTTAAACGCATTGAAATTTAGAATTGTATTGCCAGTTTTTAACATAAGCGTTGCCCGTTGTTACGGTGCAGTTTGGCGAGAGGGTCACATCCACATTCTAGATATTTAGTCTTCAATTTCATATTTTGCGTGTATAATTAACTATTAATTTAAATACTATATTATTATCATTCAATATTGGAAATATTTGTTTTTTTTTTCAGATGGACTAGACACACTTATTTTCACTTGACTATCTACATTGAACATTGTAATACGTATGACACAATACATTTATTGTCTTAATTTTTGTTTATATTATTTAAGTCAAAATAAATGAAAATGAGTTGCATAAATAGTTGTTTTAATGTTTTGCTTATATAATTATATATGTGAGCAGCTATCTATTTTATTTTATTTAATAGTGCATAATATGGTAAAATAATATAATTTATATTGAGTTAACTTTTACAACCATGAGACGTATTTTCATGTTCCCAATTTGGTCCCATAGGGCATAGACTCGACAATATAACACAGACTAAGGACATTTAATTTCATAATATAGTCTGCTAAATAAGTTTTCATAATATATACCTATATAATTATTCCCTATTATTATAAATTTTCATGTCTCAGAATAACCATGGTTATAGGCTTATTAGTCTCGGTCGTCAACATGGTCAATGGGTTTGAACTTAACCTTAAAATAAATGTAACTTGTTGATAACGTTATTTGAGGTTATGTATCAAACTTTTTAGTGATAATGATTTTGGAATTGGATGTTAAATGTTAATATTTTTGAAAAATTAACCTCCCAAGTTGGTCTTTTGAGTTGTAGACTTTATACTGTACTTGATAGTGGTGAAATACTTTATTTTAAAACTATTTTAGTATAAGACAATGTATTGATTAATCGTTGATCTTGCGAAAGCTTCTTTAAATAGCTGACAATCATTAGTCCTCGACAAAAACATGGAAATGAACAGGAAAGAAATTATTTCGTTAGTCATTCGTATGACGTTAATGTCTACTTGTGCATATTTTGGTACGAAATGGTTATTGGGTCAGATCGATCCAACCAGCCAGCAGAAGAAAAAGTCCAAGCAAACGGTAAACAGTTAAAGCTAAAAAAAATTCTTTACTTAACCAGGAGGTAAAGTCGTTTTGAAGTTAGCCTTACAGCCAGGTCCAATTCGAAATGTTGTGTTTTTATCTATTTTACTATCTATTTTTTAATTTTTTATTTTAATACTCATGGTTGTAAGGCTAATTTAGAATTTGTTCACATTTTTTTTCTCATTAGTATACAAATATTAATATTAATTCTGCATAAATAAAATTATTTCCCTTTCATCCATCATAAATATGTTTTAGGCTCTTAGTAAATTAAAAAGTCTTGGTTTGGAACAAGTTAAAAATGTAAGTATGTCATATGATCATTATATAAATAATCTTTAAACATAAAACATTTTTATACTATAGCTGACTGATCATGAGTTGATGATTGCCAGTCATCTTGTAAATCCATATGATATCACTGTTTCATGGAATAACATAGCTGGACTCAGTCAAGTAATAGACGAAATAAAAGAGACTGTGATATTTCCTGTTCAAAGAAAGGAATTGCTTAGGCATTCAGTATTAACCAAACCCCCCAAAGGTTCGACTGTTTTTAGATTTTATTAGTAAAAAGTTGATGCAGACTAGATAAGATATTTTAATTAGGAAAATTGAAGTAAATTGAAATTTAATTATGTGTACAAACATTTTATTTATTGCTGATTAATTTCTTAAAGGTCATTTGAAGTCAAATTTTCTTAACTAAAATATCTTTGTATATCTTCGTATTATCATGATATATAATGCATTATTAATTACATTAAGTAATGCATTTTAGGTGTTTTACTTCATGGGCCTCCTGGATGTGGGAAGACCATGATTGCTAAAGCAACTGCACGAGAAGCCGGTATGAATTTCTTGTACTTAGATGTCTCTTTATTGACTGATAAATGGTATGGTGAAAGTCAGAAATTAGCCGGAGCTGTTTTCAGTTTGGCTCAGAAATTGCAACCGTGTATCATATTCATTGATGAAATAGGTAAATATTCATTCAGTTTCTTGCACTATTTTATTCAAAGGTTATTAATAAATAATTTTAATATTCAAATTTTTTAGGTATAACAAAAAATTGTATAGATGTGTACACTAAAATGGAGTTAGGTTTTTTGTTGTACTTAATCATTCACTAACTTCATCATTAACTTTGTCATTTATTTAATAGTCCAAAATAGATAAATCTGTTTAAAAAACATAGTTGTTGGTTTAATTTTTAAGCGCATTATTATTATTATTAGTTATTAAATATTAATGAAAGAATATAACATGAGCCATGTAGTGAGAATAAAATGGTGCCAAACATTTGTTGGACAGACTGTAAATTTTGATTCCTTCCAGGTTGTGTTATAGAGCTTGACCATCGCTTCTAATGTAATTTATTACATACATTTGACCTAATGTTTATAAATATGTTTAAAATATAATTTCAGGCTATTTCATTTTATTAATACGGTCAATAATAAGTACCTAAATTAAAGAAGAAAGAGTATAAATGGGATTAGGTTAAAAAGTGTTTTGCTAAAATAAAAAAGAACAATTAAAAATTAGAAGTGGGTAGTTGAAAATATTTACACCTATTTGAATTTTTGTTAAAGATTGATTGTCCGAGTCTTTTTGTAGTGAAGTTAGTAACTATTGGAAGATACTATTAAATAAATTCACCTCTTCTCTTCTACTAAAATATTCTTTATATTTATCATTAAATTTGAGACCAACAACAAAAATGTGAAAAAAACGGCCCACTGTATATGGTCTCGCTGTATAGGCCTTGACCAATCATCCTGTTGGGACCAATTTAAGACTATTTTTACAATAAAAAATATTAAAAGTATTATACATTTGTTTTTTTTTTTTAGATTCGTTTCTGAGATCTAGAACACAAAACGATCATGAAGCAACAGCTATGATGAAGGCCCAATTTATGATGTTATGGGATGGTTTGTCAACAGATCCTGAGTGCACAGTTATAGTCATGGGAGCTACAAACAGGCCTAGAGATTTGGACCCTGCCATACTTAGGCGCATGCCTGCCACTTTTCAAATATCTTTACCGGTAATAGTATTAGTTTTGTTCATATGATTAGTATGTAAAGTGGCATAGAAAAAAAACATCTTAATCTGCACAGATAAAGGTGCACACTAATAGGTAGCTGAGTACTAAAGTACCACCATTTTTTTTTAATACTGTACCTATTTTATATTTTATTAGTTTACACCGGTAATTGGTTTTTAATCAGTTAGTGGTGTAATCTTGGAGGTGTAAGATGATGCACTTGCATCTCAGACTTCCAGACCAACTCGAGTTTGCACCAGCTAAAATATTACAAGAATATGCTTACGTTATCAGCTGTGGCTAATTAAACGTATATTATAGAATTATCTGTAAAGACCTTATGCGCATAGCACAAGTGTTTTTTTTATATATGGCGTTTGAAAATTGTACACAACATGTAAGCGTATGACACACGCTTTTGTCACAAACTATATGCTAGGCTTTTCGGTCTCAAATTTGTAAGCGACATTTGTATCGCTATGTGTAAAACCAGTCTAAAAGTTTTACAGACTAAATGAACAATCTTAAAACAAAACGAATAATTCCCAATTTTAATTAATTTCATTTGTGTACACTTAGAACAAGGAATTTTTTATTTAAATACCACATAATTATGTGATAAAAATGAGTTAATAGAAAATATACATTTTGTTTATTGTTTTAAATAACAATTTCGGTAAAACATTATGCATTAGGAGGGCGAGTGACCATTGCTGTAGTAGCAGCCAAAACTCTTGCAATGATCTTAGCCAGATGATGATGATGTTTTAAATAATAAATCATTTGGAATAATTTCAAAATTTCATTCTTGAACAATTATAATTAATTTATTGTTATTGTTAATTTAAGGATGAACAACAAAGGAAAGAAATACTTAATTTAGTTTTAAGCTCCGAAGAGTTCGAGGATGATGTAGATCTACATAACTTAGCTATAGAGACGAGCGGTTTTTCAGGTTCAGATCTTCAAGAGATGTGCCGCATTGCCTCGTTGTTACGTATTAAAGATTTGATTAAAGCAGAAGAACTACAAAGACGGTAATAAAAATTAATATATTATTATATTATCTTTATAAATTTGAATTACACTATTGTTGACTATAATGTTTGTACATTTTTAGTCCAGAGGTTATTAGGGCTCAAATGCAAAGCAGATTCGTTGGTGAGTGTTCCAGTGATCAATCTAATCCAAATTTGTTGAGACCTATTAGTATGGATGATTTGGTTGCATCTGTAGCTAAGATGAAGGCTTCAAAAGTTGTCACTACCACGCAATCTAGATTTTAGTGAATTAATACATAACGAAGCAATTAGTAGTTGGGTAAAATGACCTGTTTAAAATGTTTTGTCATCAGTACATTGGGTATTGGTTTAGATGTAAAAAAGGCTGATGTTTATAACTTTTTTAACCCCAATAAGATGATTTTTAATCAGATATTGTTGCTGTTGAATTAACTTATAGCTTGCAAATTGATTGGGCAAAAAAAACACAAAATCCTTTTGTTTATGTCTTTAAGAATATAAGTTAGTTTGTGTTCAGATTTATGTACGATATACGAGCTTACCACCATTATAATTAATAAAAACATCAGTTTTTATTTTTTCCTATTAAAATTATTATTTAGAGTAACTTTGACTTGAATAATTATCTTATTAAACTATAGTAAAAAAATAAGAACATTTTTATGATTAAATGGAAGTATACTTCTTTGGGGTATGAATGTTTGGCTGCTTGGTTTTATTCCTTACAATTTAACTATAACTTAAATTGTGACTTATTGTTTTATTTTTCATAAATAATTGAAAATCTTTGTAAAAAAAAAATTGGTTAAAAATTGTTGTAATTGATTTTTTTGTTTTTCAAATTATAGTTTGTAAATATTAATTAATCGCAATGCACTTACTTGTCTTTGTGGATATATTTTCTAAAATATTCAATATTTGTTGATTATTTGTTAGCGTATTTTTATTTTGTACAAGATAATAAACAAAATTGTATTGTAATCATATTTATAGAATTTATTTTTAAAAAAAACAGCCATTACAATTTTAAACATGTAATTGATAATAGTAATAAAAAAAAAAAGAGATCAAAAATATATATATGTATAACGATAATACTCAAGTAATGTAAGTAAATATTTTGTATACACTAACATCTATAGCTGTTAACACAATATGTATAAACTGATGTGTTATACATTGTTACCTCTTATATAGATAGTCAATATTATGTTTGTTAAAACTAATTAAAATAGTAGCAATACCTATAGATAGATTATTTGTTGTTTTTTTTTTCATGGATTGTAATAGAAAAATCAAAATACACATTTCTTGTTTTTTTTATTTTACATTAGTCATTGTGTAGTAATTTAAAATATAATATATGCAGAAATAAATAAACAAAAAAAAGACACATTTTTAAACCTTTAATACTATGATAAACAAAAAAAATATTTATAAGAACGAGGTATAGTTAAAGATACCATGCATAATGATCTCGTGCATTTTGGATAGGTATATTTTTGATAACCTGTTGGATATATTTTGTCTTTTCTCCCGAAGTTATCGGTTTACAGTGTATTTAATTTAATTATAGCTACAAAACATAATTACAACTTTAAAAAGAGTGTTAAAAATAATTATACATATTTATATTGAACATTAGTTTTGTACTGATCTTGTCATGTTTAATCAAAAAAGAAAATGGCAAGTTAAGATTATAATCGACTTAAAAAAAAGTACCAGTTCGAATCAATAGAATTGCTCAAAACCTAAATACAATCTAAGGCTGTCTCGAACTACCAACAGCGTTTATTATTTAGAAAGAGTATACAATATTAAAAACAATTTATTTACTTTTTTAGATAAATGTATTTTCTGCATGATTTCTTTTTTAAAAATATCCGAATCAAATAAATCATGACTTGCGGTATACCGTTTTCGTTATGTTCTTTCGTAGGTGAAATCGCATTTAAAGATAAACGAACCAACTAAGTGGACGTGACTTATGTTTTCATGAAAGCAAATTGAGAACATCAATAAATAATTGACAGAATGTCAACTCGAATAAACGAACAATTGTTTGCAGCCAACGATAAGCAAAAAATAAAACGTTATCTTGGGAAATAATAATGACATTGGATAACATCACATAAATATTGAATTTAGTTTTGTTCAAAATTACAAAATCAAATTAATAAATATTTTTACTTTTTGAGAGGCTTACAATTTGTTTTTAAAGTTTTCAGTCAACCCAGTGGTTTTAATTGTACCTATTTTTTACAAATTATTTAGTATATACCTACTTGTGTTAGGTTTATTAATAACATTTAATTTCTAACTTTGCACTAACGGGTTGACTATAATGCTACTCTAAGCAAAATCGTACACATAATATTATGTAGCATTTTAAGTATGATTGAAGAAACACGCGTTTAATTTGACGTTATATCTTATGATTAACATTATTTCACTTTGTGTCTAATGTATTATAATTTAGCTCGAAGAATATAGTTATCACCTTAAAATAATCAAGTCGTTAATAAAATTAAAACTATTAAACTGGTCAAACATATCATTCAATTAAAATTATAATTATTATATCTAATATCTTGAAAAATAGTATTTTTTTAAAATTTTTTAAACTATTTTTATAACAAAAAAAAAACAAATCACTCGTCTATATAATTCTTCGCTCTAATAAGTAGGTATAAGTTGTTTTTAAATATAATAAAAGCAATTTTCAAAAATATTTATTTATTTGTACTCGTACATAAATTGTAACGGTTATTGTAATTTATAATTCAAGATAAATGTTATATGATTATAAATTGTTTGTACATTTGGTCATTTTGCTAACTCATATTATTGTTCCATACATTAAACAATTTTTTTATTTATAAATTGATTATCAGTTAAGATATATTTTAGGCATTCAGACAGCAGCGTTAAATAACAATGTTGATATAATTATATCAATATTAATATTATGTACAATAACATTATTTTCGACAACCATAATTATTATTATGTAAAAAAATTTGCTCGAGTGTGCCGACAACAGGTCGGATACCTACTACGAGTAAAATGATTCATTAAACATCAACACTTCCGGTTTTTATATAGAATATATAAATGTATGTACCATAGAAATGAAAAGTTTTAATAAAATGTAATTCTAATGTACATTTTTGCGTTACGGCCCTTGTTTTTCCTTATGTCTACTTCCCAAACTTTGGACATACACACATTAATATGGTAAGTGTACAACTAATACTATAGACAACAATAGTAATTAATACAGTAAGTACACGTGCTAGTATTATAACAGAGCTTTACCGCAGCGATACTGGAAGCCTTTCTAAGAGAAATGGCGGATTTGAAGATGGATAAAAATTAATATTGTGCGTTTGAATTATCCGTAAATAATCTTCCCTTCAAAACCGCGCCCGAAACGGAAATTCGCTATGCATGTCATTAATTTTGAATTTCAACCTTAAGTGTTTTTTTCTTGTAACCAAACGGGACAACACCCGTGTGTTTTGTAACTTACTATGGCTATGGCTTAAGGCCTAAAAAACATAAAAAATGTGAAATAATTTTGTAATCCGGAGCACACTGTGGCCGAAAATAATTATTGTACAAGAGTGTAGCCGTCAGTCTAAGCATATGGTTTTGATTTCTATACCGTAGTTTACTTAGTGTGTAGCGTGTACACGTCTTACTTTATACTTTCTCGCCGAATACAACAGAGACTTATAGACATTGTAATTGCATGAATTTGCCATTTAGATTATTGTATAATGTTATTTGTTTCGAAATCGGATTTGTTTGTTATTGAAAGTGCATTTCTGAATGTATTAAGGTTTTGTTCGGTTAACACGATAAACATAATACGCAACCGCTATCTTATGGTAATCATTACAATAAAAAAAAAACCTCCAATAGTGTTATCGAGACCAATGTAGGTTATTGGACAATGTTTTTTATTTAGGTATGGGATCAATGGCCTAAGTAGGCATATGTGGGCTAGTTCACGGTTCAAAATGAAGAGTACAGAGAGTAAAAAAAGCGAGGTCGCTTTTGCAAAGTATACAAAAAAGCATAATATAGCAACAACGGTAGTATGAATAAATAATATTATTATTAAAATCAGCATAACGGGAAATTGAATAAAAGCAAGCCGACTTCTATATTTTCTCCCTCTGTGTTTTCATATACATAATATATACACATTACACGTGTACATAAATAAATAGTAAACGCGTTATCTATATTTTGTTTGTGTTTGTCTTTACAATATAAAACAGTACCTACGTTTTGTTACAATGTTATAACGTTTAGGTAAAACTTAACGTGCTATCTTTGGAACAACTGTCCGTCGTGGTGGTGGTGGTCGCGGCGTACCCGACCAGTTCGTCCCGGAGATCGTTGCCGTCCACGTCCCTGAGGCTACTGTTGCTGATCATTGTCCAATCGCTGAGCGCCACCGGGCCAGGCGGTGGCGACTTGGAGGAGCCGCCCGGTTTCTTCGCGGCCGTCAGCCACCGCCAGCACCGTAGTCCGTCGCCACTGCCGAGAGACGCTTGTCCAGCAGACACCCTCCGGTAACTCTGACCGCCATTGGCGGCAACAGGCGAGCCGCTCCCCCGCCGCAGACACCGCTGCTTGCCGGTCCGTCCGCCGCAACAGCACCGTAACATGGTTTCCTATGGGTGCAAAACAAAAAACACTGTTTCTCTGTTAACACATTGCATATGTAATGCCAAGTTACAACACGCATTAGGATGCGTTTACACGAGACCACGTTTAGCGGCCGACTATAGTACTAGGATAGAGCCTGAAACGGGTCCTTATGGATGCTAATAAACATATCGGTGCACACTAAATGCCTCCCATCTCCAGGCAATCGTTAAAATTATATACTAGTTGCCTCCAAAATTGTATACGACTTGCCTTCGGTGACCTTTATAATATTGTCCTATCGTATCGTTTTAAGTCAAAAAGCATTGGCGGAGAACAGGTGGGGACTTGGGATACTAAGAACCTTAAAACTTTAATTAAGTGCTATTTTAAAATACCTACATTTATTTTTTAGTGAGAGATTTGATGAAATAAAAATAAATGCAGCGCTAATTTTTAATTTTAAGGTTTTTAGAATCCCAAGACCTCATTGATCTCCACCAATGTCAAAAAGTACTAGTTGCTTCTCGCTATGGGTGGTAAATATTTTTATCCTTCCAAGAATATCTGATTTTTAAAGTGTTTTAGATCATAATCATCAAGCACTTTCGAGTCAGGTATAAAATACTAAATATACAAACAACGAGCAATACCTACACTTAAAAAAACAATAGTTGGTACCCAATCGATGGTTATTTTTATTTTAACTTTATACATTATCATTGTTATTATATTACAATTTGGGAGTTGGTATACAGTTTGCAAGTGAGTGTGAAATTATAAAAAAAAATCATACCTTACAGTGTTTACCTGGTTTAAAAGGGAACGATGGGAGGGAATTCATAGAAATCCTTGGCATGCAACTAAGATTAAAAATATTGACTACCTGCCATGGGCAGCAACTAGTAGTTTATGACCTAAAAGTAATGATTAGGAATGGAGGTAATTCGTATGCGCCAAAAAATATCTATTTGAAATGTCTTAGAAATGCAATATAGCAATATGGAATAATATAAAAAACTAGCAAATTGGGCGACAATGCAAGAAAATTTCATTATCAGCATTGTCAAAATGATAGCTGTCTCTAACTGAAGTCGATCTATAAATTGTTTTTCTCTTGACTGATTAATACCTCTATCGATACAAGATGGTATTCAGTTGGTACTCGGAGTCAAATGTTTAATAATAATCCACGCCGTTCCAGTTTCCACCTGATTTCTAAATAAACCCTTAAAAAATATACAGTGTAAAACGTACAAGCATAATTTGTACAGTCGGATAGTTTGAATTTGTGTTGGTCAGATAATTAAAATTGGCATCTACCAGGTAATCTGAATATATGGATTTTTTCTATCCCTAGGATATCTCCTTGAGCCGCTTGCTATATTATAGCCAAGAGACTTGTACCGATATGTTTGTGAGCCAGTTCCATGGACCTTGATAATCTATTTTGTTTTTTTTGGGCTACTTTTAAATGTATCCTGGGATTAGGGCCTGTCATTGGTGTTAAAATATCAATAAGAAGTGAAGTTATGGGCCAAACCCGACTTCAGCACAGTGTATTTAATCAAAACTTTATGATTTATTAAAATGTATAAAGAAAACTGAAATCAATTTATAGCTTTTATTATTATCATTATTGTAGCAATAAAAAAAACTCTTTAAAATGAGGTTAGTTTGACAAATAAAGCTTAATCAAAGTAGTTAAAATTTGTCTTATTAAAAAACCTGTACTGAAAATAACGATACAATATTATATTATATACAAATATAATAATAAAATATTTTATTCATCAGTATAATCATTGTGATAAATACTTTTTTTTTATACAAAACCAGCGAAGGGGAATTAGTTTTGACGTGACTTACCCAAGTATTGCGATAAATACTGTAGGTAGCATTATGCACAAGATTCTGCGAGACTAACATAAATACTTCAATATTTAAATTAGAATTTGGTTGAACGGTTATCGAGTAATTTAAATGGAAATTTAATTTTAACCCTACTCGAAGTTTCAGTAAAATATAATAATATAATATTAATATTAAACACTAATACAATCAAAGTCAAAATCACTGATTTATAAAAAAAAACGTCGTTTTCATTTTAACATGACTATTTTACGTTTTATTTTATTACTAGCCTTTTACTTTTTTAATCGTGACAATTGTAGGAAAGAAGCCATAAAATAAAAGTAAACAAATTACATTCGTGTATGAAAATAAAATAAGAATGTGTGCTTTTAATGGGCATATTGCGAATAGTTTATTATACAATGGTTAACTTGTGATAGTATTTGAGAAAAACATGAGGTTCCTTCGAAATTAAAAATGATGTTTATAAACTGTGTCAATAATAACTACTATAAAACAATTCAGTTTTAAATGTATTTTGCAGCATGTTACAGCTAATCTGTACTGTAGTTAATCAAGTTAGTTAGGTTAGTAACATTAGGTTTTAGGTGGGGAATAAGAAATAATAATCAAAATGTAACTATATAGACTATTTATAATTTTTAGGTATAAAATATAAAACTAAAATTAACTATCTCTTTAGCGATGTAATTTACAGGTAAAATTGTACTTACTAACGCTAAGCTAGACCTTTTTTACATATTGCAATTTCGTTTAGTTTTTAGATCTCATGTCCAAAAAAAAAAAAATTTTTACATAAAACAAATAAGTTTTAGTGTACGTCGAAACGCGAAAAACATGTCAATTTGTAAGAAGGTTTTTTGCGCTTTGAAAAGACTTCTTTTGACGTTATTTTCTATTTTCGTAAAATTTATTTGCTGAACTATTTTTGATGTTTAGCCTGTGTGGGTATATTTATATATGTACAATCCAGTTGTTTTACACACATATATATGTGTGTGTTAAGAAATTGGATTGTATCGCCAAAAAGAATTCATTATTGTTTCAGGTATAAAAAACATACACACACATACATTATTAAAAAACCAACATAATCCTGGTTCCGGCCGACTGTCAAAATAAAAAAAAGATGTCATTATATTTTGTAAACCAATTCCGCAATTTTCCAACATAATGTACTAACTACTGAGTTTATAGTTTGAGATATAAGTTTCCCTCTCAAGTTAGTGGTTATTTGGGGGGGGGGGGAAAGGTTTCCGTATTATATTACTCAACCCAAAAGTATACTGCCACAATGAAAGCGTTCGCGTTCAAATGATTTTTAAACGCTCTGTTGGCCAACTGACTATGCAGTATGCTGTATATTATTACCATCGGTCTTCAAACCCTTATTGTATTTATCATACTCGAATATCAATGACATATTATATTTGGGCGTGTAAAGTAATATTGTTTTGGTTTTTGCCAACGTGTATTTCGTTTAATTATCGTTTGTAAAAAATACAAATGATATAAAAGACAAGAGACACATAATATGTAAAACCAAATTTTAGCTTCGATGCATAGCTGAGAAGATATTATTTTACAACAATTTTTTTTTATTTAATTTTTTTTTTATTAAAAGAAAGTTTATAAACTGTGTAAAATGTGTAAACTGATTGGTTTATTCGTGTGAAGAGTGTTCGTAACAATTGTGTAAATACTTTAAGGTTTTAATTTCCATCAATAATATTATTATAGTATTAAGGTATACCTATAATTTAAAATATTTATAGCATGTATTTTACTATGAAAAGTTAGGAGAAAACTGTCGTTTAATTTAAAAGCCGAAACTCAACAGTTATCTCAAAACTCTTATTCTTTTGTTATGAAAAAAGAACTATTACCATCTTTCACTCGAAAGATTGACCAGTTTACTCCCTCCTGAATGTCCTGTTCTAGGTCGAATAAAATTATTGACAATCATAATACTCTATTCAATGTTTTATCAAGGAAATAAGGAATTCTAACTATTAACCTAATTCTTGGGTAAAACATTGAAGCACCTATTTGGCATAACGGCTATTATCGTGTACCGATTTCGGCAAACGCCTTAGATATGGGTTTTTTCTAAATTCTAATTACTTAAATCTTATTGCATTGTGCTTTATACGATATTAATTATTATTGTTTATTATACCGCAAGTTCCTTTGGCGGAACCGTCTTATCTATGTCCGTACATACCTTGAACGCCGTTCGAAACTTGTGCGACATAATGTGGTACAAAATTGGATTTATCGTTGTAGACATGTAGTAGAGCACTCCGGATATGTACGTGGAGATCCCGTACAACTGATCAATGAGTTCTTTGCCTATATCTCCAGTCGAGACTTGACTAACACCCCATATGGCAATCAGCCGCTGAGCGTGAAAAGGCGCCCAACATATGAAAAACGCCACGACGACAGCGACTAAAAAACAAAAACATATTATTGTAAACATGCTAAAATATTTTGCTATAATGTATAAGGTACACGGTTTCACATAATCTCTACTTATATACATGAATAAACAGTGGTGCATTTAGGACCGATTTATAGGGGGGGGGGGCTAAAGACACTTCAATTTTGTGTAATAAATGTGTACTTGTATATTAGTTTTTTTAAAAATATAATATTTTATTTATTAGAATATGTATTTTTTTTACTATACTATCTCTATGACTATTGCTTATATGTATTTGAAAGGAATTATTTTTTCTAGCGCCCCTCCTTTTCATTCCTAGATCATCCTGAGGGATTCCTTCCTAATAATATTTATGTGCTCAGATGTTGTGCGTTTTGTACAAAAGTTGAAAAAAAAAACAGGTTCTAGACAACTATTGAATAGGAACAAAAAAGTTAGTATATTTTGTTCTGGAACAAATACTGAATTGGAATGTTTTAAGAACAATATCCGGACCTTAGACGTTACCAAATCAAGGCACAAGTAAAATATTTTAGAAAATATCAAATCTAAAATAAGGTAATTTATCTAGCTTCAATTTTTGTACGTGTAGCTCTCATTTTCCACATTTTTTATGTGACGTTTACAGACCCATGGTGAATTAAATTATAAAATGTTGTCATGTCGGTTTTACCGAACTTTCAACCCTTGTTCTAACAAAAACGTCACGTCAAATGACTTATGGGCTAATAAGTGTACAGACGACAGATATTTAGCATTCTACTCAAGTCAGAAAAAATAATAAACTACGGAATTTTTTAGACATCTTTTATACCCTATTATAGTTCTGTACTTCCTAGAATTTTAAAATGAAATGTACTACAAAGCGCATAAAAATATAAATAAATGCTAACCAAACCAAATGTTTGTTGCACGGACCGAACAACAGTTGAAATTACACCAGTAAGAGTAATTTACTTTGCGTGCAATTTTGTCTAGAATACGGATTGCCTATTAGTATATGAATGGGCTATGTACAGCTATAATAATAAGCTCATAAGGCCATAATGGTGTGTGCACGCTGAAGTAGGGTTTGGAAGATAAGACTGTAATGAAATATAATATATATAGTAGGTACGTTATATCATATTCAGGATGCGCTCATTAGTTCAGATGTAGTTTGTATTAGAGGTTACACGGTTACACACGTGAAGACTATATCAGTTTATTTTTGTTATTTCCTTTTTTTAAAACGGATAAAAATAATTTAAATGGCGATGTGTAAAGAGAGTGGATTTGGTTGGTCGACCTTAATATTATGGGTTTAGGTAAGTAAAGAAGAAAAGGATATCAACCTCAGTGATTAATAGCTTACATCATTGTCACAAAATAATATATTATTGTTGTAACGATTTAAGTTTCTCTAAACAATTCAATTTGTACAAAGTTTTTAGTTTATAAATCCAATAACATTTTAAGAAACGAATACTTTTTAGTTTTCTTTTAAGATTTCAGATAGATTGCGGAGGATTTGAAATTTCGACCGGTATGGCTGCGATAGTGATTTATGACTTCTTTGACAGCAAGTGTTTTACCATACATCTTGCATTGTTCCATGTACCCTTGTAAGTTTTATACAAATCTTAACCGTTATAGTTTGGATGTTATTAGTGGAAACTAGCGAAAACCATAGTAAAAATAGATTGAAATATAAAGTATATTTAAACTATGTTGAAACTGAGATGTTTTTCAACACTACTTCCATATGTATACAAACTGCAGTAGTGGTTTCAATTAAATTTACCACGTATATAATATATTGGTTATATATCTGCAGTACGATGACTGAAGTTCATATGTCATTTTTTGGTATAATTATACTGACTTTTAATTAAGTAAGCTTAACAAAAAATGACAATAATGTTATGTCTGGGTGATTTCATTGTCGTTACGGTTAGGTTAATATTAAAAAATACATTTTTGCTGATGTCAAAAATTAATATTATGTTTTGACGTCGAAAAATGAAATTTCCTTCTTCCCTCCCTCAACATTTAATATATATTTTAACTAAAAATAAATTGTTGGTTCAGTTTTAAAATACCATAAAGAATATATTTATAATATTTATAGATATAACAAAACAATCTTAGAATTTTAGTCTCAACTAAAAACTTGTATTTTCCCGCAAGTTGAAAAAAGTGATATATCAACTTGTGTCATCCCACAATAAATAATATTTAAGGTTTATCTGTAGTAGGATATTAGCAAATATAAGTATATGTTTATAAATGTTAATTTGCGGGTATACTTAACGTATTATTAATTTAACATGTTTAAGATGTGGTCATGCTCAAGCCTCAATGTTACATGAACTGTTAATTTTGTATAATTTTTAAAATTATTACTATTATTTGTTTGTGGATCAATTAACTAAAAATGTTTTTTCATTTAAACTAATATAATCCTTAATATTTAATCTATTTCCATCAAGGGTTTCGAGGATAATAACATTTCATTCGTATTTTATTTTATAGCACTATGTTGTATACATTGAAATAAGCGCTTGAAAAGCACATTTTTATGTACATAAGATCTGAGACCAATAGATTAGGCTTTATTTACCGTGCGTTTACGATTTATGTTCTTATTGATGATGCTAAACTGTAAAGCTTTGACTTAAACGGCCATTTTTGGATGTATTTTTTGTTACTTGAAAATAATTTTTTTATACTTCTAATATATATAACGATTCACTAGATATTTGGACAGCCGAATAATCGTTCTAACAATGATGATTTATGAGCACTGAATAAAATAAAAAGTATTGACACACATTCAAACGTTTTTTGGTGGAAAACAACATATACGTACCGTGTATAACAACCTCAAATCAATAAAAATGTACAGCAATTAAAATTTTTAATTAAAAAATTACATTTTTGTTAAACGTCAATTACAAAAAACTTTTTGTGTTCGCGTACAATGTATAACATCCAATGAACTTTTAATAATTATTTAATATATTCAGTATCATTTTAATTACATTTTTTTTTGCTTGAAACATTCTGTGTTTGGACACATAAAACAACACTTATTCCAATTATTTTTGGTTTAGTTTTTTTAAATACATTTTTGGATACTTAATCAAGTGACTTGACTGTTAAATATTTATGGTGGTTTTAATGATCTTAATAAATTGTGAATAAGCTCTGATAAATAAATTGTACTTTTTAACATAGTGCTCTTGGTGAGTAATCAATTTGCATATGCTAAGCCTTAAGAGTTAGTGTAATAAAATCCTTTTTTTTTTTAAATTTGTATAAAGAACTTTTAGAACAGATTAAAACATGCCTTTAATGTAAAAAAATAATAATATTATTATTATGAATGTCATTATTTTAACGCTTATCAATATTAATAAGTAAGCTTAAGTGTATTTTAATAGCCTGTTTTACATAACTAATTATTGTCCAATAAGATAAAACCATATAATAAAAGTACAGTTATTTATACACTTTTTTAATTTTGTTTTTAATTATGGATATTCTGTAGTAAATTGATCAATAACAGTGTTTGGATTTAGTCGTTTTCTTAAGTTTGATCAAAAGAAATTGAAATGTCTCTAAAGTAAATATTCAAGTATAATGTATAATCACAACCATTATAAATCGTGAAGTGTTTCGTTTCTTTATTTAGTGTGGTACTACAATATAACAATTTCAACGTGTCATATTGTATCGTTACAGCCTATCTGAAAAAGTATGTATAGTGTTTACTGTAAATAATTTATAATTAACAACAGTATTAATAAGCAGTTAATAGTGTACTGCGATTAACACTGGTTTAAACTGAGATATTTAGAAATAAAGTTAATTAACACAATATATCTTTGACGAAAGATATATTGTATGCTAGTCGTTAAATCTCGATTAACGTATAGTATTTTTTTAAACTAAGGAAAAATGTGCTGTGGACGTCCATCTAAGCAGTTTCTCTTGTTCTAGCCTAGTCTAACTTAACTTCCCTTCATACCTAATCGTTCCCATCCCATCCTCACCTAATCATCATTTTATCCAGGGATTTTCCATTATCGCCTCCACCATCATGGCATAGTGTCGTTTATGCACTCAGATTAATATCATATCCATGTTAAAATAAGAAAATACTCTTCGGCCATCAAATTGGTATTAGTTATATTGCTTAGAATATAGTATCCATGAAAATATTTAGAACTAACAACTTTTGATATTGATACACTCTAGTAGGGTTTTTTCATATTAGATTTAATCTTTTCGAGTATGGGTAACGATGAATCAGCTGTTCTGCTTCAGTTGAGCGATTTTAATATAAGCAGGTTGAAACGTTGAGAATTATTTGATTTCGGGTGAATGCCCATGTAACACGGGTCTTGGCTTCTCTCTCTCTTTTATCAAAGTGTTCTAAAAAAACTCAACTACTTGTTGCACAGACAAGAGTACTTTTGTCGTAAAAGTACTCTAGTATATATCAACTGCGAGTAAGTGAAGATTAATGTACCTACAGTTAAAACACTAACGTTATTGAAAAAAAAAAGATAAAAAGGATGTGTTCAATAATTCAAATAAAATTATCATTATTTTAAATTGGGAATTGTATTAATAAAATGTACAACAAAAATAATAAATTTGCTTTATAAAATAACAAAAACAAATGTATAATATATTTTAACTATACCTTTTTTAAGTGTGTATAATAATATTTTAGCGCATACCTTATTGAAGGTACCTACATGTAGAGACTTAAAACTTTACAATAGCGGTCAACGGTGTATGTAATTAAAAAAAAAAAAAACTACCTTGTTCTTAGAAATTTTCGAACTCTTCAATTTTTAACATTAATTTTTAAAGGTTAATCAAAATGATCAAAAATAAGTGGTATTTTTCTTTTTTTTATTATTTACATACTTAACGTTCGTCCTTATGATAATACTAGAGCTCAACGAATAGATTACAATTAATTTACGAACTATAGAAATTAAATAGCTAATCATTTTCTAAAAGTTATGTATAGAAAATTGGTTTATGTATATATATATATATATATATTATATATTATATATACCAGTGTGGGGATTATTGATCAGATGACTACCTTTTAGAACATTGATTTTCTCGAGTCACTTTACTTGGGACGGGGAATAGGGTTACTTTCGTAGGTTGAATGTTTGTCGAAATAATACAAACAACTATCGCTTAACGTAAACACTACTTACCTAACATTTTGAGCACTTTTGACGAGGAATTCGCCCTATATTCGGGCGAAGAGATTTTTTTTTCACCGGTGGTCGACCGCACCGTGACGGTCCTTTTCAGTCTATCGGTGCGCCGGAGCCGGAAACCGATCAGTACATACAGCACTGTTATAACAGTCATTGGTAGTACGAAAAACAACAGGGTGGACAGCGTGAACGATACCGTGGACAGCCGGAGACTGGAGCCCATCAGCATAAATTCACGAATGTTGCATTGCACGTTTTCAGGCGAATCGTTCCAAGATGATACTGTGAATTGTAATGCCTAGAAAAAAAAAGTACATAATATTTGTTTTAGCCCTTTAATTTCCAATTTTCAGCTTCGATGCGTAGCTGAGAAAGTCTTGTTTTTACAAAGATTTGTATTTTTTTTTTAAATTTAATTTTTGTTGTTGGACCCACGATATCTTCTAAACCGCTCAACCAACTACTACTTTGTGTAGCGTGAATAATAAAATAAACCATAATTTTTTGGTTATTTTTGAAAAAATCTAGTGTACCAAAGTGCAATTTTAAAACGATTTCATAGTTAAAAATCGAAATCTGTTTTCTATGCAAATTATATACTGTTATATAAGAATAGATTAATATATATTCTTGTCCTTACCTGAGGTATGGCAAATAACACGGCTACCAACCAAATGCCGATGATTATTTTCACGGCTCTGGACAGCTTGGACATGCTCTGCGCCATGAATGGATGACATATGGCCACGTACCGTTCAGCCGTGAATGCTGTTATGGTAAGAACAGTGGCGTTTGCCGACATTTCGGAAAAAAGGCCACGAAGCTGACAGAATATCTCGCCGAAAACGTATGGATACCTAAAATGTTCAAACACATAGGGTACAGATTTAAAAAACATGCATAAAATGACCTAAACAATAGTTTAAACTTTAAAACACCTAAACTGATATGAAAAAAACTAAATATTAAATACCAAACAATTCAACAAAAACTATGGTATGGAATTTTCGTGTGAACTTTTTAGTTTTGCCAAGTTAAGAGTTAATATATTTACATTCCGAAACTTATTGCGCCTTTTATTAAATACGAGACCTAAAAGTTTATCAAATAGATTTTATTTGTTAAACTTTCGAAGAACTAATATGACGTTTTCTAAATAAACGTTTACATAATTTACATATTTCATTTAACGGTTTTTATAAATTATTATATGCCAAACTATGGTTTCTTTTGTTAGATTTTCTTTAACTACTCTGTAGTATACTATAATGGTTTTCTTCCTCCATTTTCCTCGTATTATTATAACGTTTAGTAAGTACGTAATACACTTGAGAATCGGGTTGGGCGTCAGCGATCGAGAAAAAAACCACACGAGACAGCTAACCAAATAAAATACAACAAACGCGATGAACAGCAAAAAGTGTAAGCGTTTGACGTTATTTATCGTTATTTTTATTTCCTCTGACGTTATCTGAAATATATGACTTCACCGTGTCATGGTGGCGGGCGCCCATCATACAGACTTATAGTCTACTACGTACCTATTATTTGGGCTCTAGATCGTGTAAAATAAGGTTATTATAAATTAAAATCTAATACATATGTATTTATTTATTTGTGACTTATCAGGAAAATAATAATAAAAACAACAGTCATAAATTATAACGAGGTAAATTCCTGTTAAATATATTCCCGGTTATTGAACCATGTTGTGTGGCCTAAGCGTTGGTTTTCAGGCGTTCATTTTACTCAGCTTTCGTAAAAAAGAACCTGCGTAAATGTATGTAGAAAAAATGTACATTAAACTTTGGGTATTTAACTATATGGTTTGGTTCTTTCGTACAAGGTCAGGACACTGTGTATAGAAAAAGAACCTTGGTAGATTTTTTTAATTTGCACTTTTATTTCAACAAACATTTTAGTCGATTCCGGCCGGGAAAAATATTATGTGTTACAAAACACAATATTATCCATCGTAACTTACCTAGACCATATGGACCACATCTCTTGTGGAAGTCCGGAAACGAGAAGTATGAGATCGGACGCAGCCAGGCTGAACAAGTAGTAGTTTGTTGCGGTGTGCATGTACTTATGTTTGGCGATTACAAGACAAGTGATCGAGTTGCCTATGACACCAGTAACGAATATCAACGAATACGCTATAGTCATGGGTACCACAATGTACAATGGATCTCGTTTAGGCATCAACGAATCTTCCATGCTCATATTGTGTTGAGTTGTACTGCCACCGCCACCATCGTCGTCCAAAGACATCATCGCAGTGCTATCTGCGGAAAAAAAACGATACAACTTAACACTGTGTTGAATACAATAATATTAAGATAGGAAATTCAAATAAGTTGTACACGTTGCTAAGTATAAAAATAAAAAAAAACCTTTAAATAAACTTTAATAACCTTTAAATAACTTTTAAAGTAAAAAATATGTAGAGGTCTTAACTGTGTACCTAGCCAGATAAGTTTTGTTAGGGCAAGAACATTTGAATAAACATGTGTTATTTTATGATTTAAAATAAAAAAATTAAGCAAAGTAAATTTTAACTCTGAAATGAAAAAATATCTGATTTTTTTAAAAACTTTTAGTTTAAGATTTAATACATAAAGTCGTTTCACCTATTATTGTTTTTATTGCGATTGTGTAATAAATACCTATAAAACTTTATAGAACTTTATAAGGGGTGTTATTTTTTTATAATTAACTTGTAATTATTAACTCATTAAATTACAAAAAGACGTATGCCGAATATCTAGTAATGATGACAATATTTGATAAAACTAAACACTTTAAAAAATGTGTAAGTCTATTTCTATAATCTTAGGGCCGTTACAAATATCCCTGACTTGCCTAACACTTAACTTTAATTTTTATCGCTCATTGTTACTTGTTGTGAATTATAGTATAGATAATTTTGCAATAGGTAACTTATTGTTAATAGCTCGTTTTGATGACACTTTGAGGAGTTAATATGGATAATTTCATTACAAAAGTCAGTGCGCTTTTTTAATTTGTCCCAAGGAAAGTTGAAAGAATGTTTTATGGCGTCAAGGTTAAACATTAATTGCTTAGTATTCAAGCAGCACTGTTAGAGTTTTAGTCTACTCATAATGTAAATACTCCTCTAATACCGAAGTGGAATGTCGCGTTCAATAGTACGTTGAACCAGTGACGCGTTCACTGTGTCGACTCCAAATTAATTTTGAAAGTATATTTATATACTTTATTTATATATAGTATTTTCTTACGAATACAATTTTCGTTATTAGGTTTTCTCCAATTGCTTGATATCGTCTCACTACACGGTATTCCTGACGATTGGACGTTTTTAAAATTAAATTCACTCGCTTCAACGGGAAAAAAATATCGTTTCTTTCAAATTAAACAAACATTTGACGTGCACGTGACATCGTATCCTAGGTCATCAACATCCGGCATGACGTTATTAACACCGTTTAACCGGATGAGGGAATCCTTATCTCAGCGTCTTGGACAATTATTACCATGCGCAATCATACTCTGGTGAAAACACATTTTAATCAGATGCGACACTCGAACGACAATTGATGAGGGCGGTTCATGTTATCAACCCTATGACTGCGTAAACGGTCTATGCAAGGGATAAGGCGTGAGGGTGAGCATTTGTGCAAAACGCGCGGTAATGGAATATGCTTAGTATGATGTACACAAAAGTAAAAAAAAAAAATGAAGAAAAAAACGACACAAATAACACAATATCATCTGGATCGCATTATGCTGTAACGCGGGACAATGTTTGAATTTTTGTTGTAATATAGTATCGTCAGAGTACCTAATATCTGCAGGTGACGGCACGTACTTTGAAATGGGAATACAGCAGAAAAACTATCTATCATTCCACACGGTATAATGTGGGGTGGTTTGTATTTTTTCTTTTTTTTTGGCGACACAATTCCAAGCGGTATGAGTTTACGGGAAATTGCAAGCCGTTCACTATTGTTGTCAGAATGCAACGAGAATACATAAAACGCTACATAAATGAACTACTTATATTAGAGGTGTAGAATATAACTTTTTGGGTATTCAGCAGAGCTGAGAAAGTATCGTTTTTGTAATTTGTATGTTTTTGTGTGTGCACGGCCACGTAGTCAATAACAATATATTTACCTCTGCACCGTTTCTCTATAGATAAATATAATCAGAAATCGTTCACCAAAATTACTTTATACGGACAAACGGTCAACACTTCTCTATTAAAATCGAGAAAAATACTCAAACCCACAATTTGTTTAATTGTTTGGGACATTGTATAATGCACATACACATCTTTTATACAACAGTTCATCAATAATAATTATTGACTCGTAAGAAATATTTTTTGAGAGAGATGCTATTTCGCTACACGTGAGTGACATTCTTCAATCATTTTTATAACTTACAATTTAAAAAGCGCCATGTTTAATACCTTACAACTTTTTTGTAAGGTGTAAAAAAAAAAAACACTAATAAGTTTGATGTTTATGAAACGGAACTAATTCACACAATAAAAACTATTTGAGCTCTACAAACATATTCATGCTATTCGTTTTTTTAGACGTCCTAATAAATATTAATATTCTGTTTGGCAACTAATAATCAAAATTTACTCATTTCAAACGAGTTGTTGACAGTGCACAACACTGGTGTAATATATTGTTATTTTTTTCGTTTCAAAAGAAAGATGATATATATAAATTAACGGCGGCAGGTGCACGGAGTTTTGTGGAACTTGCCAATGTTATTATTTATAACCGAAAGAAACTTGTTCAGTTTTTGTTAATTTAGTTAAGTAGCCTCTACACCTGCGTATTTTTGATGGAAAACAATTCATTCTAATTTTAATCGACTCTGAAACGCGCGAGTTTTGTAAACTTTAATCCGTATAGGCACTATTAAATTTTAAAAATCAATTAAAGAGTTGTTTTATTTCTCATGTGGTCTTAAAAGAAAAGACTTAAGATGATTTTTAGGTCATGTTGTTCAACACCTGTTTCCGGTAACGCGAGACGTGTTTTACTGTAGTTAACGTTGTAGAATTCCTTTTCCAAGTCTATGAAGTCCAAAAATGTAACTTTATTTTTTTATCTGCTTTTCAATCAGCACTCGCAGTCCTAGAACTCTTACAATTTTCCTTCTATTCTCCGGTTTATCATTTTTGTTAAGACTTTCAAGACATGTGTCAGTAGACTCAATGTTCTAAGCTTTTCATAGGAATTTGCACCCTATTCTTCGGGATAGTTACGATTATGCTTTTACAGTAGTCATCTAGTACCTCTCCTTTCTCATATATATATCCCGAGTTAGTTTATATAAAGCGTCCTTTATCTTCGTGCTAGCACATTGCAATAATTATGTTATCTACTTCAGGTGCTTTATTTTGTTTCAGACGTGAAGCGCTAGGTCATATACTGATCTTAAAATAGGTAGCTTCGGTTCTTCTTCGTGTATTGTCAATTTCTTCAGCTGTTCTCCATCGTAAAGCTTTTCAAGGTACTTTCTCTAACGTTTTACCATGCTCTCATTATCAACTAATAATTGGCCAATTTTACCTCTGATATTAGTGACAAATTGTTGGATCTTATAGTATAGAAAAGTTGGCTACTTTGTATACATATATTGGGCGTCGTTGAAGTAATTTGTAATATTATCATCACAAACACATGACATATCATCGTTGATTTGTTTTTCACATTGAACAGGTAGTTTACTACTGGTTTCGCTATCCTCCGGGGGCGCATGTATGCTTGGTTCAATAATAATTTGTTGTATAGTTGCCGATCATTTTCCAAGTATATATTATTTCGTTTTAAATTTGAAACGGCCAACCATAAGTTACATGTCAAATGGTGGTTAGTTGTTCGTTTAATGACGTTAGGTAAACTTCCTATTTAATATCGAAATTATAGGTAATAGATTTCAATAAAATAATAATAATAATAATATTCTGTATTCAAACTACACCACAGTTATGTATAATAATTGTTTGTAGACATTTTATCCATACCAATACCAACACCCAATAACAATACGTTTAAAATATTTTTAGCATTATATCATCATTGAGTGTCAGTAAAATTTACACGGAACTATTTAAACATTTTAATTTCGTAGTTTTTTTTTTTTAATTTTCTAACCGACTAGTTAACATTTAAAAAATATATATTTGCAATATATTTTGGTTATGGAGAAAGAGATGTAGTAAAAGAATAAATAGAAAATCTATGTTTTTTTTAATTACTTAATTGCCGTCAATATTCAATTTATATTAACACAATATTGACACGATAGATTTACAATGAATCACCATTTTATATCTAGTAAATTGTATCCAAGTACGGACATGCATTAAATTGTAAGTTTTACGATAATTGATTAATTAAAAATAAAAAGTATTAATATATAATAATTCTTTCTTTAGTTATTCATTTTGCCAGGGGAAAAAGCCATTTGGACTGTTAAGCGCTCATGCCCGGACCATGCCCGGACTTTGTCAGTGGCACAATAAGAGCAAATTTATTAACAAATATTTTAAAAGGCTCTGGAAATGGGACAAAGGTATAATAATAGTAAGCGTTAGGAGTGAGCTCAATTTCCGCCCACGTGCAAAACATTTTTTGTAATTTTTCAATTAACATTTTAACAGTTTTTCAATTACTTTACTTGCAAAACAAGTTTTCTTCTGTTTTCATAACACTTTTTATGCTCAACGCGGCATAAGAATTTCACTTAAAAAATGTTAAAAACAAACATATAACACCTTAACTGAATGTATTCGGGGTAAATCATTGATTAAAAATATATAGAACTGTAACAATATCATAATATAATGTCGTGTTATCAGCAACGAAGTAATCAAGAAGGCGAGCGACAGTGTGACTACTTTAGATAAATTGACGTTTACATATAGCATCGTTTTAAATTGTACGTCTTTAAAACAACTTTAATGAATGCACATAAGTCATAAGATGTTGTTAATTTTTTTATTCGCTACATGCATCAAAGATAACAGCTATTATACAGTCTATCGTGAAATTCCATTTCATTATTAGATTAAAATTAATACATTGTGATTGAATGATTATAGATTAAATGATAAGAATTAAACATAACAACTGTTTAATAAAATACTAAATATTTTTTAATGAGGACTAAATATTACATATTATAGGTTTCAAGGCGTAGTAGCTATTTATTATAAAATGTACACTTATTTCGGAATAAAGTTACTATGTAACTGTGCAAATTCAAGTTATAA